TTGACAATAACAGCCTCGCCGCTGACTACAGAGCGACCAGACATCTCTTCAATTACTTAAGGATTCCTGGAGCTCTAAATGCGACCACTTTGCTTATCTACGTGTCTTCCGAGTGAGAAATGTGCTCCGTTACTGAAGAAAATTCGGAAAATCACGGTTCAACGCTTGTTGTTCTGAATGATCAGTTAGCTTCCGTTGTTGTGCTTGACTTTAAATAGCTTAAGGTGTGAGTTCAAGAGCAAACTACGTAAGAAATTCCCATTTCTTAAGAACGTCGAAAAATATAAATATTTGGTTCATGGAATACGCTTTTATTTAGAGTAGCGATATTTGAGGTGGAACGACCAACTCGATGGTGCAGAGGCCTTATAAAATCTGTAACTGAACCGTTTACTTGAGGAGTCAGATGATTTAGTGCATCATAATCTCTTTTTAAAGCACAAAACAAGGGCACTTTTGGCTCATTTTTCTCGTAGTAGATTTTAACAATTTCAACGCGTTTTGCAGTGGTTAAGCGATCAATTTTCATTTAGGTCAAACTTTTAACTAAAACAAAACATGTTTGGTTTGATAATTAAGTATGACAGATTTCAAAATACAGCTCTGTACTTTTGAAGCCACAAAATGTTTAACCCCTTTATATTTATGTATTTCGTATTTGGCTGAGAGACTGCACACTGCAAATGCCTCTAGCTGTGGCACGTTGCAGTAATTGTATCAACGCTCTAATGTAAATCGATTGCAGTGCAAATTTTGTGGGACTGCACATTTTCGGCTTCCATCTACGCCATAATATATATTTATAGAGCCTTATTATTATTGTGTTGCAAAACGTTGTTGAGAATGTGACACAATCGAATCAACACGTAATCATAATAATTATTAATGTGCAGCAGTTATTGTTGGTACGAATAATGGAATTGCATTCGCACATGTTAGGTGACATCTGTTAGTATTTTCGTATTTCCAGTATTATTCGAAACATATGGAAAAAACTATGTACTCATATGTAAAGGGTGATTTTTTAGCTATTATCTTTTTGGCAATACTGGTTTAAACAGCTACCGCACGTTTCGCGAGTTGTATCACTGTCAAATATCTTCAATTGGGTCTATAATTTAACTATGAATCGCCTTACAAACGAACACGCTTTATGGGTGCGTAAATAAGCAGATTTGTCGATTTTAGAGTGAAGATCAGCCAGAAGCATTGAAGAGGTGCCAATGAATTCAGAAAAAGGCCCAGTTTGGTGCGGTTTATGGGCTACTGGCATCATTGGACCGTACTTCTTGGTGAGCGCTACCGTGAGATAATATTTTTTTGGCCAAAATGCAAGAGCTTGATTTGCATGTCATGTGGCTTGTACAAGACGGTGCCACTTGCCACAGAGTATGCGTATGGACTTATTGAGAGGCGAGTTCGGTGAACATTTTATTTCACGATCAGTGAATTGGCCGCCCAGATCGTGCGAATTTATTTTTTGTAGGGCTCTGTTAAATCTAATGTCTATACAATCAATCCCGCTTCAATTGACGCTTTGAAGGACAACATTGAAGCGTTTACTTGTGAGATACCATCCGAAATATTGGAAAAAGTATGCCGAAATTGGACTAAGCGGATGGTCCATTTGAGGCGCAGTCACTGTCAACATTTGCATGAAATAATCTTAAAACATTAAATTATATGGACCGTACCATCGATTCAAATAAAGCTTTCAGGCATTTTTCTGTACTTAACGAGTTTTTTTTTTTCAACTTTCCTATATTTCTTAAAAAATCTCCGTTCAGAAAAATAGCGCTCATCTTCATTGATAACTTGACATTTGGTTAGGAAGCTCCTAAAAGTATGTAAAAAAAATATTATTCGTATAATTGCATAGCTTTTGCTCATCCACTACCGAGTGTACTATATAAATATGAATGTACGAGTATGCAACCGTAATTGATATGAGTAGCCTAACGCGAATTATACAGTGTCGGACAGTCGACAATACGCGAATATCGCAAATATGGCTATAAGCAAATTACATAGAAATTAATGGGAACTATATTTTTTATTACAAACTTAAAGAACCAAAAAAAATTGCAAATTTTTAAATTTTGAGCTAGAAAAATTTCGAATATGCAAGAATCTCCCACGTACCGGTTACGTTATATTACGTATCCGCCATATTATTATTTTTTTTTTTTTGTTGAAAATAACATATAATCTAGTTTTACCACGCTATGTATACAAACATCCTTAGAAAGTGTGCCGAATTTCATTATCATGAGTTAGTTTTCGGAAGTCTATCAAAAGTATAAATCAACCTTGTTTAGTTTTCCGAAACGATAAGCCAGCAATTAAAATGTATGGCCATAAATTCATATGCTGTATGACATTTATAGGCACAAGGCAATAAAAATTAAAGTACAAACAGATGTCCATATACACATACTCATGATATGAGTATTGATACTTGATGCCTTTACAACAACATAAGCATCTATGTATACTGATGTTCTTATCATGAATATGTAAAGCAATAAAAATTAAAACATAAGATAAGATTATCTATTCGTGGGTAATCTTCTAATGTAAAATATGTAACATACTTATGTACACATATGCATGCATGTAAATTTTCACATTACAAATTTATATAAATAAACACTCTACAGATTGTGGAGTCAGTTATACTTAAACCAAGTGATAGTAAAGTTATTATTTAGTTCCCGCCTCAACAAACCTGTTTACACCTCCATAAAAGCGACTAAGCCAGCAGCTCACTAGTGGATTTCATAAATCAGATACTTCTGTACAGGACTATAAGAGCGAGGAAATCTACTTAGTAGTTCACATACTTACGTAAATAAATGACTTAAGGTGGCAACCTGGAAATATAAAAAAGTCCACAACATAAGCTCGTAAGCCTGGGAACCAATGATGCTGGATATCGTGGTTGATATTAATACTAACTCCAAAATACCCTAAGTTATCTACGACTTCAATATTACGACTGACCTCATTCACTACCAGACTCATTCGCTTCGCTTCTTGCGGTCGTCCCTCATAATCGGTGTCGGTAATGTTTTTTCTATCGTCCAGAAGGCTGGAGAAGTGTTTCCACTATAAATTTAGTACACTATGGGTATGAGTTACTAGATCACCTCCCTCTAGCCTGCAAGAGTTCGCTCTTGTCGGTCAGCTTCTCAAGTTTTTCATACTAACATCTTTCTTTTATTGTCTGCAAATGCATCTTGCTGTGGTCATCAGCATGAGGTATCTATCCCACCCCACAAATGTTGTGATCGATAAAGTGTTTGCGGGGTAGGGACTATGTTTTCTCTTCGCTGCAATAAAAGCGACATAAAAGCACACCCTAACGAACTTGCTAAGCAAGCAACGATTAAGAATATATTTTTGAGTCTTTAAGTGCAGCAGCACCAACACCGTGACAGAGAATTGGTAGTACTATCAGGCCATGGACAGCGAACAAAAGCTCTTCATCGAATGTAAACCGTTTTTCCTTCACTCAATAATAAGGCTTTCCATATTAAGTCTCTCTTGCTCTCTTGTTGGGTTAAGAGGAGTTTTGGAGGTTTCAAAGTGTTTAGCTTTAAAATATTGCCTTAATTGAAATAAATATGAAAAAAAATATAAATACAGCTGAACTTTGTACTCCTCAATTAGCCCAATTTTAACAACTAAAACCCTCACTTGTGTGAAATATACTTCCATATAATGTACAAAGGTACGTATTACTTGTGTATTTATATAAAGCCAAACTTAGTTTAATTTCAAAGAAATCAAAATGAACGTATAAATTTAATTAAAATCGGCAGCGTGAAAAACTCCGCCCAAAACATTTTAACGAAGGCAAGTGTTTTCTCTGCGTGCACTGCCGGTCTTTCAAATCAACTGTAAATTTCATTGAAACACGAGACCATGGGGCATACAAATTAAGGTGAGGTCGATACATATGTACAAACGATACACACTTATACCTACATATATTTAAGTGCATTTAAAAATTAGTGATCGGTATACATACTAATGTACATACGAGTATATAACATAAATATATAATGAGCCAGCGTTTCGACAGCAGCATGACCGTAAAGCGCTGCAGGTTGCAATGCCGCGTCAACTCGCTTGTAAGAATCATTTAAGAAAGGTCTGCACAGCAAAGTAGCATAAATTAGTTACAACTTACAAAGCTACATGCACACATACACGTACATATTGTGTTCAATATTTAAATTGAAACCTCCAAACCGCATAGCAGCGTATCCAGACAGGCGAAGCATATTTTTAGCTTTGGAAATAAATTTTCCGAAGAATGTTTTAAGGTATTCGTAAATTGATACAGCAGCACAAGAGTACCCAAATACATAATATACAAGTATATGTATGTTATGTGTCCTGCTTAAAATCACGTTTATTTTCATACTGAAGCATTTTAACTCTCCACTACGCCGCTAACTAATGAGGCTCGCGGGCATGACGTAAACGCGAAATGCAATACCACACCTGCGAGAACAGGTGTTTGAGGAAAGACCTTTTATTGGAAAAAACATAAACAATGTACTTTACATAATGTAAAAAATATAAAAAAAAAAAAAATTATTGGTTGATTTGGAACGCCGTGAAAATTCTTTATTAGAACATTGGGAAATAGGACAAGGGTAATTTGGATAAGGAAATGATAACAATGAAAATTATTGTAAATTTCCAGCTTAAAATATTCAAAACTATTTCTTTGCTGCCGAAACATTTTAATTCTGAAACTTTTTTCCTTCCATTTGTCAAGATTTATTAACCTCCTCGCAAGACAACCTAGAAAAATAGACCTCTCACTTGCGAAGTAAACTTTATCGGACGCCTACTTAACATCCCAATAACCTACTGCCAAAGCAAAAAGCGAAACAAACAAAAAACAATAAATGACAAAACAAATGTTTCGAGGGGATTTTATATAATCTCCAGTTTAATTTTATTCCGCTTCACAGCATTCTATGTATCACTGTTAGGAAAATAGAATTTTCCCTAACAATGTATCACAATTTCCAATCTATTTACGTAGCACGGCAACGGCGGGCGCGGCAGCAGCAACTACTGGTGCAGCAGCATAAGCAGCTGGGAAAGCGGCAGAGTGGGCGATCGAATGAGCTGAGTAGCTGCTGGCGTATGGGGCGACGTAACCAGCATAGCCGGCGGTGTATGCAACGGGAGCGGCGTAGGCAGCAGCAACTGGAGCGGCGTAGGCAGCAGCAAGAGGTGCAGCGGCTAATGGAGCTGAGTAAGCAAGAGCAGCAGGAGCAGCCAGCAAACCGGGTTTAGCAGCACCGAAGGCAAAAGCGAAGAGAGCGAGGAAGCAGACTGTGAACTGTGTATAAAGAGTGAGAAAATTTTAGTTAAATATATTTTGAAATATACATTTTGACAAGAGAAACTCACCAATTTGAACATTTTGGATTATTTTTTACTGAAGATGAACTTCTTTACAATTGAACTGGTTAACGAAATGTAATGTTAAATATCAAATAATCGCTGGCTTTTATAGTACAAAGCTAAAAATCACAACGATTCGTTCATACAGGGCACGTCTTACTTAGCCTTGAAACCGCCGAAAACAATAAATTGTTACCATTAGCGTATGGCATGTCTTTGCTGCAAACTAAATAAATACCTTGGTGAACAATTGAAGGAAAACTAATAATAATAAAAAAAGGAATTTGCATATCTTAAGGCCGCTTTCGCACAATTTTACAATTTTTTACGATACTCAACGCTCACATAAATAGTATATCCATAGCAAAATTTAGTAAGTTTCTTATAGAAATGTAGAATAGGAACTTGAGAGTTGGTGTGGTGTAGAAATTCTAGAAATAATTTTATGCTAACATTTTTACCTTCAATGAACATCTTTGACCTGAAGTACGTAAGTAAAAGGAGAGACTCACCATAATGTATACCGATTGGAGAAGAACGACAAGCTAAGTTGATTGAGTCCCTCGGTTGTTAGATATTTTAACCAAACTTGGCATGTGGATGCATTTGTATATTTTGTAACATGTCGTCCCCATGGGGTGTGGGCAAGCTGCTGGGTGTACCGGGTTACAGCAGCGGGGCTATATTAAATTTCTACTGTAGCGCCATTGTCACGCAGCCTGAAACACAAGCAACCTTTGCGCAAAGTGCGCTAATTAACCCGTATGTAGCATTGGGTCAAGAGAAGAAGCTTAAGAGGAGACACTTCAACTTATTCGGTTTATAGGCTCGCGTCTGTCCAACAGAGGCTTGGCTGCGAGCGGGTATCGCTTTTGAAGCAAAAGGCTCGCTATATAAATGTGTAAAAGCTTTAAACTTCCTTCCGTAGCAAGGTTGTGCGCTACGAAGAAAGAAAGACAACCTCTGTTAGCGTATCAATGGTCATGATTTGAGGGCCGACATCCGGATTGGCCGGTCGTCTAATTACCAAGGTGTCACTGCCAGCTGGTTGATGTTTACGTGGAACAAAGGCTGATATTACTGGGCAAGGGCGGAAACGAGTAGGCCCTTGTATCATTTACTAAAGCGGCCACAAGAAAGTTTCGTTGTCGATGTATAGCTGCAAAAGAAACTATCTATTGGTTTTCGGAAAAGTAAAAGATAAAAAGCTGATACGATGAGGATTATCGTATTTTAGTGAAAAGAAAGTACTACAAGTGCGGGGTGGTATTGCTCCCGAGAATTGAAAAGGGAAGCAAGACGCATAAAGCAAGAAGCTTGAGAAGATATCCGACAATTGTAATGCTCGAAAATTCGACGAAGCGGACTCTTGTAAGTCACAGAGAGGTAATCTAGTAACTGATGCCCATAAGAGTATATTGAATTGATAGATTGAATACTTCTCCAACCTGCTGAATGGCAATGAAAATATAACACCCGCAGATGGTAAGCCCGAATCCCCAATCTAACATAATGGAACAGACATTCGCGGTCTGGTTAATCAAGCATTGTCCAGATATTCACTATGTGCCAAGCCTCTTTCGACAACACGAAATGGTACGGCTCCTACGCCTATGTGTGACTTTCACAATAAACTTATACGGCTATGTAAACTGACCTAGAGCAACACTAAAAGCACCATCAGTATCGGGCAGAATCGTTTCTTAAGAATAATCCATCTTTGGAAGTTTTCGATGCAGTACCCGCTGGTTGAAGTAGAGAACCAGGTGAATAAATATCTGGCTGTAATGTCAGTTAGCGCCAAATAGCGAGAAGAAGAATAAATGGCGCACTGAAGCAAAGAAGAAGAAGTTCCCATATAACTGATTCTTTCAAATATGTGATTTTAGGAAGAACATGAAATTTGGTATTCACATACTTAAATAAAATTATTGACACCGAAAAACTTCGACGTTCAGGAAAGGTATTAAGCATGGCCGAAGGCAGCGACTGGAGTGGGAGCTCGACCAAAAATCATTTTAGCAGCTATACAGCCGCGGCTACAGTTGTTATAGACCTACGTCTTCTTGTTGACGACGTTTGAATATATCAACGTGGACAAATATTTTGGTCGAATATGTCTATAGCTTTTAGAGCAGCTGGTAAAAAAACACTGAAGATTATACATAAGTTTACTGTAATAACTCTAGCAGCTAATGCTCAGAAGAGGAAAACAAAAATTATTTTAAAATAATTATATTTTTATTCAGTTTTCATTCATAATTTATTTCAAAGGTTCAGTTCATCATTATTGAGAGAAAAACTGTTTTTAAAACACTTTTTACTTTTTCAGTACAGCAACAGCTGGAGCAGCAACAACTGGTGCAGCAGCATAAGCAGCTGGGAAAGCGGCAGAGTGGGCGATCGAATGAGCTGAGTAGCTGCTGGCATATGGAGCGACGTAACCAGCATAGCCGGCGGTATAGGCAACGGGAGCGGCGTAGGCAGCAGCAAGTGGAGCAGCAGCAAGAGGAGCAGCGGCTAACGGAGCTGAATACGCGACGGGAGCAGCCAGCAAACCGGGTTTAGCAGCACCGAAGGCAAAAGCGAAGAGAGCGAGGAAGCAGACTGTGAACTGTGTATAAAGAGTGAGAAAATTTTAGTTAAATATATTTTGAAATTTACATTTTGACAAGAGAAACTCACCAATTTGAACATTTTGGATTATTTTTTGCTGAAGATGAATTTCTTTACAATTGAACTGGTTAACGAAATGTAATGTTAAATATCAAATAATCGCTGGCTTTTATATGAAATTACTTATAGTACAAAGCAGTAATCACAGCAGTTCGTTAATACAGAGCACGTCTCAATGAACCTTGAATTTGACGAAGACAACGGTTTTTAGCGTTAATCGCACTACCAAAACAAAATATGTCACCAATCGTTACTTACCTTGATTTTAAAATAGTTTGGTAACGTCTGCAATTTCTCAGTTATTTTATATTGCACATACATATATCAGAATAATGCAATTAACTTGCAGCAGAGTTCAATTTCAAGCAATAAAGCAAAGGGAAAGCATTTTAAAAAACTAAACTGAAAAATCAACAATAATACTACATACGCAAATATGTATGTTGTACTTCAAACTTTATGCTCAAGGACGATGATATATTTTTTTTGTTATTTTCTTTCTTATTTTCATAAATGGGTTTCATATAAATAGGAATGTGGCGCTGACAATTGACATCACAATTCGTTAAACATTACAATTGTTAAGAAGTCTAATCTTCAGCAAAAATCATTCAAAATGTTCAAGTTGGTAAGTTAAAAGCTGTAAAATATAAGACAAATAGAGGAATGCAGAAATTTTATGTTATTATTTTTTCATTAACAGTTCTCTGTCTGCTTCCTTGCCATCTTCGCTGTTGCCTTCGGTGCTGCTAAACCCGGTTTGCTGGCTGCTCCTGCAGCTCTTGCCTACTCAGCTCCATTAGCCGCTGCACCCGTTGCGTATTCCGCTCCATTGGCTGCTGCACCAGTTGCCGCTGCTTACGCCGCTCCCGTTGCCTACACTGCCGGCTATGCTGGTTACGTCGCTCCATACGCCAGCAGCTACTCAGCTCATTCGATCGCCCACTCTGCCGCTTTCCCAGCTGCTTTTGCTGCCGCTCCAGTAGTTGCCGCTCCAGCCCCTGTTGTTGCTGCTGCTCCAGCTGTTGCCGTATTGAAGAAGTAAAGATTAGATGAAAGAGACTTTAATGTTAATATATGAAGAACCATAAACGTTAAAAATAAAAAAAATAAGGCTGAAGATTGCTTAAAAACAAAGCTAAATTTTGCTTTTGGTGCAATTCGATTTCGCCACAGTTTTGCAAATCTTCTTTGGGAAACATTAATTTTGCTTAATCTTTCGGTAATTCTCACTATGTTTCAGTCATGTTGATTTATAGTTTTATTTTCATTTTTAACTAATTGAATTGAGGAAAACATTTTCCCGATGGTGCCGGACGGCATAGCCGGAGAATTTATCCCACTTTTATAATTTCCATGACAAATTTTACATTTTTATGTCGGACTTCTGTCAGGGATATTTTATTATAGTATGTCTATCTTAGCAAACTTAACACAGCAGTCTTTAAGTTTCTAAATATTCTCTCTTCTTGAATAATCAAATGATCGGAACTGACCAGCTCCCTGGTCCCCATCTCAAAAGTAATACATATGTTTGGCTACAAGACTGCCAATACTACTATGTATGTTAACAGTTCATAAACGCTTATGAAGAAGGAAAAATAATAAATAATTGCAGCCGCTTAAGTGAGTCTTATCAGAGGCTGTCCTTTAGTTTGTGGTTTGAATCAACGTCTCGTTTAAGAGCATGGGGATATCAATGAGCCAAGCGTCCGCACGCTTTTGTATTCATCCCGTAAAAGGCACAATCAATGGTTCTAAGTTTCTCGCAAAGTCTAGATTTCCCAAGACCCAAATAAAGTGACCAGCTGCAAGTCACACCACATTTTGGCGCTTTATATGGGGGCCAGAAATCATAAACAAGCCGATTGCCATAGGCTTGCATGGATACCATTCTATCAATATGCAAATGGTAAGGATATTTTTTTCCAATTTCAATTGCAGTAAAACAGATCATTGTACCGGCAGCCGATATATTTCTTCGGATCTTTGCACTGCAGAGAAGACTCATGCAGCGTAGTTTTTATAGTTAAAACAACAACGTATTTTTGATTTGGTAAACTTTGTAATTCTCTTCAATTTATTAAAAAAAATAATAAAATTAATTGCTATCACGAACTTATTTCTTTTTGTCATTATTTGATGCGTCTTTTATGTAGTTTGACGTTTCTGTTAAACTGTGATGGAATCTTTCTTCCATTTTAATAAAAGTTGATTGCCAGTTAACGATTTTCGCTCAAAATTATTTAAATAATCTCATAAGTGTTAGTGCATTCGAAAAAATTCTTAATTTAGCGATCCGGCAGGGTGTGAATTTATTAATAAAATAGCAATAGTTCTAGGCGGTCGACATGTGGAAGTGGTTAGCAGTGCGTGCTGCCATTCTGAATGTCGGGGATCAACTCCTGTTCGACCAACATTCAAAATAATTTTCGTATTTGCGGTCGCCCCTCTGCAGGGAATGTCAACTCCTCGGCTTGTATTTCTAGCATGAAATAAGAAGAGCTCCTAATAAAGAAGCATAAATTGGAGCTTCTCGACCGAAACTTACTTCAGAGATATAAAAGCATAAATTATATATATTATAAACCTACAAATATGTGTCTATGTTTTAAGTACAAGTTTTTTTTTCAATTCTAATTTGTTTTATGTATAATTTTCCTTGGAAACTGTACTTTGGATTTTTTTTTTTTGCTTTTTGGTAGGATTTTGAAAAATCTTTTACAACAAAATTATATACAGTTCTCGATCTTAGCATACGATGCTCTTCTATATAACTGGAACTTTGTAACCGCTGAAGCGATTTACGGCTGAGCTCCTCCTCAAATTTGTGGTTTTGCGTCCTAATATTTTTCCAACAAATGGAGGGACCCACAATAATAATACTAAGCCGCCTCCGAACGACTGATGATTTCCTTTTTTTTCATAAAAAAAGGTTCTCTTAATTATGTTAATTTAATGTTTTCTCAAAATTAAATTATTTCCAATGAATTAAACGAATGATATTTCGATGGAAACTACTTTCAGCCTTATTTCGTTTTATTACTCAATGATTCGGTTTTTCACATTTTAAGATTCAAATCTATTTAATCGTATCTTTACTTTTTCAATACAGCAACAGCTGGAGCAGCAGCAACGACAGGTGCGGGGGCAGCAACTACTGGTGCAGCAGCATAGGCAGCTGGGAAAGCGGCAGAGTGTGCGATCGAATGAGCTGAGTAACTGCTGGCGTATGGGGCGACGTAACCAGCATAGCCGGAGGTGTAGGCAACGGGAGCGGCATAGGCAGCGGCAACTGGTGCAGCAGCCAATGGAGCGGAATACGCAACGGGTGCAGCGGCTAATGGAGCTGAGTAGGCAAGAGCTGCAGGAGCAGCCAGCAAACCGGGTTTAGCAGCACCGAAGGCAACAGCGAAGATGGCAAGGAAGCAGACAGAGAACTGTTAATGAAAAAATAATAACATAAAATTTCTGCATTCCTCTATTTGTCTTATATTTTACAGCTTTTAACTTACCAACTTGAACATTTTGAACGATTTTTGCTGAAGATTAGACTTCTTAACAATTGTAATGTTTAACGAATTGTGTTGTCCATTGTAAATAAAATATTGGTTTTTATACCAAATACGATATTGAAATCATAGCGAAATAACTATTGCAAACGTCGTCCTCGCATTAAGCCTTGAATGCCGTTATACATATGTACGAAGTATGTACGTGTATTACAAATTAATTGTGAGTCACTGCACTCGCACAATTTTAAAGTAAAGTATTCAAGTCATTGCTTGGTGTAACTTGTCATTCTCACACTTTCGTAGATTTTATGCATTCCATACGACAATGACTTTTTACTGTATTCATGAACCTGAACCTGCAGAAATATGTTGGTGCATATAGATTGAGGACCTGAGCGAAGTCCAGTCTTCGAATTGTCTCGTAAATTAAAACTCCTTCGAAGATGATCTCAATATTCAAAACTTGACCTGAAGCAAAAACAACTTCAAGAATCTTTTTGAGTTCGAATGGGCATATAAATGGGGATTCAGTTAATATTTGATAATAAACAAAAGTCATTGTTTATTAAAATTTCATACTTATGTAGAAAATTGGCACTCAACTAACTCCTTTCTTCCTTCCATTCCTGGGTTGCCTATTCATTTTCGGGTCTTATTATTTCATAAATTAAGGTTACATTATTTTGTATCTTGTACCGGTTTTGGTTGTCCGTTGAAATGATTGTACCGACCCAAAAAAAAGAGCTCGAATTTAATGTATTATCGACGCTTATCTTTGTGACCGCCTGCAGCGTGTCTTCCCCATCTCGTAGGGTTAATTCCTGCTGTCATGATTAGCAAGGGCTTAGTGAGACGGGATTTGAAATTCTTTTTGTACCATTTTTGTAACAATTGGATTTCGGTGAGGACTAAGGAGGAGATATATATTATGTATTTATAATTGGCGCTTTCTAACCGCAGAAGCTCCTTCTCCAATTTGTAGTTTTGCGTCTCTATTTTTGTCCAACAAATGGATTGACCCAGAGTTTCTTCAAAGCCGCTTGCGAGCACTTTGATTTTCTTGACGGAAATACACTCGGAGGCCTTGACATTCCCTGCCGAGGGGTGGCCGAAAATAGAAAAATTAATTTTCTACAATTTTAGATGTTGGTTGAGCCAAGACTCGAATACTGGTCTTCAGAATGAATAAGCACTCAGTTATAGCGACAGCTATGAAAAATGCTCCCTACAATGGTTGGATTGCTATTCGAGGCGACCGCAGCATCCGAGTGATAGCAGTGCATTCTACCGTGAGTTCGAGTCCTTGCCGGAAAATATGCGAAATAATAAAAAAAGGAGCTCTGGAGGAGGAGATCGGCCAAAAATCACTTCTACGGTGATAAACCCCTTTTTATACATATATATATTCCAATGCTGCGCTCAAATATCAAGAACTGAGACCCAGTCTACAAAGCTAAAAACTAGATCCATGATCACTCTGTGACGATGTTCGACTACCTACGTCGTCTGAAGAGCAATAAGGCGGCGATGGTGCGTAAGTGAAGTGAAGCGAATGTTAAAGCTCATAACATCAACATATCCATGGGTAATATCATGGCATACAAGGATGCATGGGGTTTGCAATCAAGTATGGTTTGTCCAATCTGTAAAATGAGATCCCTAGAATCGGCGCCAATAATCGTGGTAAGAGTGTTCTCAAAATCGCATGAACAGTCTACGGTATCTAAGTCTAGTAATATAATTTCATATCTCAACATGCGCAAATCTTGGAAAAGGCTCAACAGAAAAGGAATGGGACACCATGAGACACACAAATCATTCTTCGACTGATGGTAGGTATCTTTACAAAACTTTCTCTGAACTAGCATGCAAAGGTTGTAAGGTTTATTGTAACCGGCGGTTTGGTTCTAACTATTGTTCCAGATAGATGATTCTTCAACTTATTTTACTTTAGATTGAGTAGATAGGGCGCACGCATGAGCCAAGTGGTTACATCTACGTACTGTCTCACAAAAGTTCGGTGATTTCATTTCTGGCCAGATGAAAATCCAAATATAAAAGAGAATTTAATCTTCTCATTGTGGTTACCCTAATCAAGGAATGTCCACCCCAAGTCCAAGTGTATTTCGAACAGGAAATAAAGGTTGTTTCTTTTAGATATGTGTTCTCCAATAAGAAATAAAATGCATATATTTTACTGTTATTGTCAAGAACTCAGCTTTATTATAAAGAAACTGGCCAGCCGAAAAGTCTAATTTTCGAACACTTCTCGCAGCAATTGGCGCCGTAAGTCAGCACGGGATATATTATTTCGAGGCTCTAATTGTCCCGAGCTTACCTTCATAGACAACAGTGTTGAAACGCGCGATCTCGAAAGCCACGTCGCGAAATAATGAACCCAATGAATTGATTTTTGCATTGGTTATATGGCATATAGCAGTTTTGTTAAACCCAAAGCTTTTCCAAAGTTATATCTTCTAATTCAGGCGTTCCGCATTGACGGTAACACTATGGTCGTCTTCATTGCCGAATAAATGTCGACCAATGATTCACACCAACCAACCAAAAGAAAACTTGATTGCTGAACAAAATGCGTCGCACGAACCAAACCATTATTCTGGAAATAAATTTGCACGATTTGCAAACCTTCGGAGGCAATTTAGAATAAACTGTAGGTGCTTAACAATTGGAGTAGGGCCTCTTTTCCTTAAGAATATTTAACGACAGATGCATGGAAATAAAAAGATAGAAGACCCAATTACCCGAGAGAAGCAATAATCAAAATTACCAAATAATTTCGTTTCAAAAGATTTTCAGTATTTATTTTATTTCGATAAGATTTAGTTAATCACAGTAAGAATGTAGGCTTTTCACAGGCTTCAGGTTTATTTCTTCAATACGGCAACAGCTGGAGCAGCAGCAACAACAGGGGCTGGAGCAGCAACTACTGGAGCGGCAGCATAAGCAGCTGGGAAAGCGGCAGAGTGTGCGATGGAGTGAGCTGAGTAGCTGCTGGCATATGGAGCGACGTAACCAGCATATCCGGCGGTGTAGGCAACGGGAGCGGCATAAGCGGCGGCAACTGGAGAAGCGTAGGCAGCAGCAAGAGGAGCAGCGGCTAACGGAGCTGAATACGCGACGGGAGCAGCCAACAAACCGGGCTTAGCAGCACCGAAGGCAACAGCGAAGAGAGCGAAGAAGCAGACTGCGAGCTGTAAAAAAAGAGCCATTAAAATTATTTCAGTTTGCAATGCATACGTAAAATGCATGCGCACATATAATTTATTTGAATGGAATAAATTATTTTTTAGTTAACTCACCAATTTAAACATTTTGATAGTTTTAGAGGTTTGTTGTCTGTGCAATTGAAGACTTGTATGAATTGTGTTGTCACTTGTCGATCACACTTTGCATTTATACGAAATTTAGATTTTAAGTCACCCTGAAACTTGACAAACAAAAACGTCTTAAAATATTAATCAGGCTATGATGAGTCAACAGCAGTAAATTTGAACTTAACTTCGGAACAGTTTACGAGCCCTTACACTTTCTGAAAATAGCAAAAGTAAAAAAGCAATTATTTAAATGGAAGTTTTTTTTGTATTCTATTTCTATATAGTATATATAATTGGCGCTTTGTAACCGCTGAAACGATTTCCTGCCGAGCTCCTCCTACAATTTATGTTCAAGATTAGTTTTAACAAACTCTGTATAACTTGAAGCTATGGTGCCCATATTGTCAGAATCAAAATGCATACAGTACTCATAGTTTATACGTGTCTACCCCTTAAAAGCCCTCTTTACGTCTCGTACCATATTTGATTCGTACTCCCGCTCTCGGAGTTTTTGTCAAAAATTAAGATCCCCACTTTCAAAACTGATTGCAGCATATCATTTCGGTTTAAGTAACTGCAAATCTTCGGGAATCGGATGGACTTTACGTGGATAACAGCATAAACAGAGCGCAAAAGAACTAATTCTCTACCCCAAATTCTAAATTATAAATAGTGAGTGCTTATAATCGTCGATTTGCGGCCCGGCTGCACTTCCAATCTGTGATGTATGTCTTCATTTGTTTTCCAAAGACGAAAAGACCTATACTTTGAAGTTGCCTCCAAACGGCTGAAAGGGATTTATGAGAAGTTTGTTATTACATATAAAAATTCCTATAGAGGAGCGGACACCGTCGAGTACGGTCAGCACTTAGAAAAGTATTTCGGTATTGGTTTGTCAGGTTTAATTCCACGACCTCCGTTTGGTACTCATGCACTGCTAGTCAGTCGGCTCCTGTTCGACTGGGCTAGCTAGGTAGCACTAGAAGTTCTAAAATAATTGGGATCCGACCCACCATCGACCACTAATGTTAGCAAAGAAATAGGGAGACCTTCGATACGTGGGTGAGTGGTCGAATAAGACTAGATTTTGTATGTGGTACCAAGTGACAAATCATTAAATGACTATTGTTGGGTCGGCTATGGCCGCATGAAATATGTGGCTTGCACTGTTTCAAAATAAGTAGGTACTTGGACGTACCAGCGTAAAAAAAAATATAACTAACGGTATCTACTTCGTTTTCAAGGTTTGCTAGAGTACGTAAAGTAAAACAACAAACTGCTTGTGTACAATCGTATAAAAGAAGAGGGTTTGTTGACAAACCACATCACAATACGTTTACCTCTTCGATTGCAAAGAAGTTCAAAACAAAAACTTTCAAAATGTTCAAATTGGTGAGTTTAACAAAAAATAGAATAATATATTCCAATCAAATAAATTATATGTACGCACACATTTTACGTGCGAATTGTAAACTAACTAAATTTTCATCCCTCTATTTTTACAGTTCGCAGTCTGCTTCTTCGCTCTCTTCGCTGTTGTCTTCGGTGCTGCTAAGCCCGGTTTGCTGGCTGCGCCCGTTGCATACTCAGCACCATTAGCCGCTGCTCCTCTTGCTGCTGCCTACGCCGCTCCAGTTGCCGCCGCTTATGCTGCTCCCGTTGCTTATACCGCCGGCTATGCTGGTTACGTCGCGCCATACGCCAGCAGCTACTCAGCTCACTCCATCGCACACTCTGCCGCTTTCCCAGCTGCTTATGCTGCCGCTCCAGTAGTTGCTGCCCCCGCACCTGTTGTTGCTGCTGCCCCTGCTGTTGCTGTATTGAAGAAATAAACGGCATTGAAGAAATATTTAGTTTGAATGGAATTTGAAAATACAAAACGAATTAAAATAGAAAATAAAAATGAAAAATTTGAAAAATTTATTCTATAACTAAAAACTTAATTCTTTAACAATCCAGTTCTCCTTTCGCATCGTCAAAGTCACTTCACGATTTAGCAGAAAGAGAATGATGAGCGACTTAAGGAGATCGATTTTTTTTGTTCGTCTTCTCAAGACCTATTTTTGATGACAAATAATATTTAATTTATTCCTCGCTTACTTCCATACCTTTTCTATATGATAATTCAAACTTACTCGGGGTCCTAAAATAATTGCTAGATAATAAATAAATAAACTAACTAAAATAAAATATATTAGGTGAAGTAAAAAGTTGGTTCGGTTTTTAACTATGAGATGGCGTTATTGTCCATAGTACTAGTGTTACGTGTCGCATCATGTCATACTCTACGGCGCTGAAAACGTGTTTATTCACGCTAAAAGTTTGTCTTTGACAGTTTTTCGATTGTTTGACTCAGTACGCTGTAAGCGCTCGTCAAAGATGGACACCAGCAAAGATAAAATTCACTATATTTTACAATTTTTTATCGATCAAGGCGAAAAAGCATCCGAAGCGGCTGAAAAAGTTAATTTATGATACTAAGAATTGTTTTTTGACACTTAAGTAAAGCACAGCTCCCTACAGAAGATGCTGCAAGGAGGATGAAGAGGAGGAAACTATGACCCATCTCTTATGCGACGGTCCTGTACTAAGCAAGGCGAGGTTTCGTAATTTTGGAACCTACTGCTGGATGGTCTATCGAAGATAGGTGAAGTCAAAGTCATGGATCTAATGAGATTCATTAGAGAGTCAAAATGGATGGAAGATGAAACCTGATGGTTTAAGTTGTTGCGGTATCTCAATTGGTCTAAGTCAGGCCTAAGTGAATCCGGTCAAGGCGAGAAAGCAGCCAAATCGGCTTAAAAAGTTAATTTAGTTTGTGGGCCCGACACCGTAAGCGAATGTGTAGCACCAGGTTTTGTTGTGTGTTTGGTGGGATTGGCAAGGAATCATCTACTACGAGCTGCTCCCCTATGACCAAATGCTTAATTCGGCCCTCTACTACCAACTACTGGACCGCTTGAAGGCAGCACTCATCCAGAAGAGGACATCTTTGATCAACAGAGGCCGAATTGTGTTGCATCAGGACAACGCCAGGCCACACACCATATTTTGAAAAATCAATAAAAAAAAAGCGGAACGAACTTTTTACTCGACCTAATATATATATCAGTTTTATAGTCGCATTATAAGGTAGGAAATTGTTTTTAAGGCCAAACTCAGATTTTTTGCATAAAGCCTCAGAAAGACTTAAAAATTTAATCTTGGTTGCATCTTTTTTTGCGGAAATGTATTGCCAAGTGCAGGATTCAAGGATATTGGGAACCGTGTTAGGTAATAATTGTTTAATTTCATGAAGAAAATCAATGTGCCACACCATGTCAAAACCTTGAGCAACATCAAGAATAACCGCCTTGCAATACTCTCCGAGCTCGAAAGCTTTCCTGATTTCATTAGTTCTAAAATAAAATCGGAGTTGTTCATGCAACCCAAAGGGCTGTATAGGACTTTTATCATTTTCATTGAAAAAATTTGGAAAGGCATGGAAACCGGCCTACTCTCCTGTTTTAGCTTTTATAATTATTTGCGAAGTTTCCACATTAGTGCTTAGTGCTCTAGCATTATGGCTAGGTTCCTCTAAAAAATTTTCAAAAATTCGAAATCTCTTTCCTGTAAATTGCTAGAAAATACTCTTAGATATAATATAGAATTAGCCTCGATGGTACGCAAGACTAAAAAGTAAGTAGAGAAGAAGCGATAGCGAGGAGCGCTAAGCGAAATAATTTTTATTCAACTGGGTGACACCTTATTTAGAACCTATTGGAATTATCAATATGAACTAAACGACATTTTACTTCTAAAATGTTCCTCTATGGTTGACATTACAGAAAACATTTTCCATTGTTTCAATTAAACTTAATAAAAGGGTAAACAAAATAAAATGTCCGCAATTTTTTTTTTTAGTTCCGGCCATAGTTCAGAAAAAGAAACTTTTATGATTTTTGCTTTCATTTTTTCTTTTTCGTTTTACAGTTATAGTGTCACTCACCAACAAAAGGGAGGTGTTTTAGCCGCATATTTAAGAGCTGCCATTTCTAGAAAAAAATATATTATTTTCAATTAATCAATTAATACGTCTACTTATCGGCAAAAACTTTGATTTACAAATATATATTTTTTTTAAATAAATACAATTTTTTGGAAAAAAACCCACCTTTTTTGGAGGAACCTGTCCTTAATTTCACACTGAAAGGATTTTCAAAAAAAAAACTGCAGTGATTAAAGCACTTTTAACATTCTTGGTGTGAAATGATCTAGGAACTCACCTCTTCTCTTGCCGTTATGGCGCATGAACCGTTAAAATGTGCTTCAATTCAGTATTTACTGACGCCGAATATGAGTCATTTTACAAAACGAAAAATTTGCCTGAGCGTGATACCAATACAAGTAAAAACGATGGCCAAATTTTGAATAGTGGTTACAGGGGCCAAAATGTAAAAAGCTAGCATTTCGAATAGTCTAAAGAACACAGGTTAGGTTTAGATATTAAAAATAGTCTTGCAAATGGAAAGGTTCAGATTAAAGTGAAGAAAAATTTTAAGTTAAGCCCTCGAAATATTCTCTAACAATAAAAATCCTTTATTCACCTAAAACTATTTATTTCTTCTAAGTCGTTTTTAGAGAGAACTAGAAATTTTTCTCGGTGTATTTTTGATTAAGTTAAAATGAATCATTAAAAAGCTATAAAATTTAAAAATATCTTTTTGCGGTGTTGACAAGCAGTTGCTTGCGCTTAACTTCAGATATTATATCCTTCTTAACTGTGCAAGACTTTCAAAACATTTTCATATATTAGGCGCAGTAAAAAGAAATCCATTATTTTTGCATGAAATTGAAAGCTTTAGTTTTGTATTCAAATGGTTCCAAAAGCGCCTTTTAGTGCAATCTTTAGCTCGTGGGCAATCGAAAAAATGCAATCCGGCTGTGGGGCTTCCACTCAGTGCAGCATCTTTTACATCAAAATTACCGGAATGAAAGCGATTGACTGTAATAGTATCAGGACCATAAGCCCTACTCACATTTTTAGCTGCCTGGCTTGCATTTTCGCCCCAAATTGAAGAAAAACTGTAAAATATTGCGTATTTTCTCTTTTTTAGTGTCCATCTTTGAAGCACACTCAACCAAAACTGAATCAACCAATCCCAAAACAGTCAGAAAAGTTTTTTTAGTACGAGATGTCATCTTTCTAATGCCATCTAGCGGAACCCCATCGGACTTATACAACGCGAGATACACATAAATAACGCCACCTATTAAAAAAATAATGGATTTCTTTTTACTACACACAAATAAATTCAAACTGAAATCGGCTGGTTCGTGAACACTGCGGCGTCATCACGTGAGCGGCGTACTTAAACCATAATCAGGCATATATTTCACGGTACGCTTTAAGTAAAGCAAGTCAGTTTGTATAGCCAATAAAAAAATATAAATAAAAACAGTAAAAACCAAAGTGTGGTGATTTGCATTAAAAATGTGTTGGCGCATGCGCAACTGTCATTTAGCGCTAGAATAAGTCAGCAAGTTTGTATGTGTGTACCAGTAGCAGTGCTCGATAGGACAGATGGCCGTGAATATTAGCGTCAACACAAACATTTTCACATAAATGCCAGTCTGTATGTACTTATGCAGATAGTCAAGTACGTGATCCGCTTCAATTACCATTGCATTTTCTGTTTATTTCTGTTTTACATATTCAATGTGACTTTTTGTGCATATGTATGTATGTATGTGTACTGGAATTTTGGCAAATTAGCTAAATGCCCGAAATTGTGGGGAATTCAATGGCGAAATGATTTCTGAATATGAAACTGTCATTTGCAAAAATTAAAAAAAAAAACGAAAACATAAAAAAGCCGAAGGAATTTTTTTAAGCCACTCTTTAATTCTTTTATTTACACTTCTTATGTATATTTCAAATTATATCAGCACAAAGTTGGCTCATAAGCCAAAAAAAAAGTTACGAATCTCACACGGCGTGTATAAAAGGCCCATTCTTGGTAGTCGTCTTCAGCATAATCGTCTACAGTTGCACTGTAAGCATACAAAGAAGTCTAGTCTTTGCTAAAGGAATATCTCCAAAAACCTAATCAAAATGTTCAAATTGGTAAGTCATAAGAAAAACATAACATTTCCGTTGAATCTCGCTATTAAAAAGGACCTTCAATCTCTTCCAGTTCGCTGTCTGCTTTGTAGCACTCTTCGCTGGCGCATTCGCTGCTGCCAAACCCGCATATCTGGCTGCTCCAGTTGCCTACTCCGCTCCACTAGCAGCTGCTCCTTTTGCTGCTGCCTACGCCGCTCCAGTGGCCGCTGCCTACACTGCCGGATATGCGCCCTACATTGCTCCCTATGCTAGCAGCTATACTGCTCACGGCGTCGCGCACACTGCTGCCTTCCCTGCTGCTTACGCTGCTGCTCCATATGTCGCCTCATATGCTGCCCCAGCTGTTGTTCCCGCAGCACGTTTTGTCGCTCCAGCTGCCCCCGTGGTCGCTGCTGCTCCCGCACCAGTTGTCGCCGCAGCTCCAGCTGTTGCCGCTGTTCCAGTGGTTAAAAAGTAAATGTACCGTTAATTTATTGAATTTGAAGTAATGAAGGCAGTGAAAAGAAATATAATAAAATTGGGCTGAATTGAAAAAATAAGGATTTATTTCCATAGAAGATATATTTATGGAACGATGATCATATTTGTGATGTTCGCGCCATAAAATTATGGCTTTCTTGGTTGACTCTTCGACTTCCCTGTGTAAGTAAAATGCGGCGCAAAGTCAACGATGCCACAACTTTTGATAATTTCTGCCAAGTGAAGGACGCTCCGCTTTCAGAATCTTTATAATATTTTTCATTCAGTAACAGCTAACTATCAATAATAATTTAACTCTAATAATTTTCAGAAATTAGATCGCCCATGTGACTTTAATGACTTTCGGCTTGAACGTTCTTTTACATTGACTTTTTATTAAATTTTATGTATTATAAAGGGAAAGGTTAGAAAAACCAAGGCTTGAAAAAAGTACTATTAGAATTTGCTCTGTCCTAGTCATGGATTTGAAGTCGCATTGTTGGCCATTCTTCGACAGCGGCCTCTCGGCCTTAAAATTAAATTTAAGATGAATGAAAAATGAAAAGAAAATCGACCCTAAATAGAGAATTTTCAAACCAAGTAAACAAATATTATATAAAATTTTGTATAAGCCCATGCTAAAGAATAAATATTACAAACCTTAAAGCCAACTAAGTATAGAAAGGTTACAACACTTATGTTGACCAAATACCATACCAAAAATACGTCCTGGCATAATGTGCATCTAAACTAAAATAAAACTTCGCATTCAAAGGGTCTTTCAAGAAGAAATATAACACTTACATTTATTTTAATGCTGTTGTCAGGAATCTTGCTTTATTATAAAGATCATTGTCATTATGTTTTAAAAGTAATTTCCGACAATTGACAGCTGGAATAAACTCCAGCACTGAAACCAATATCCGACCGCTTCTTGCAAAAATCCGTGGCGCCACTCGGCTCGAAATTTTCTGCGCAGACAAGGGACTGCACGTAATATTTTGGGCCACCCCATAGACTCGTTACGCGAGATATTGCCCTCACCAAAACCTTTCTTAAATACTTTTAAGGTTTTGTTTTCTGTATGACATGTAGCATGGTCTTGTTGGAACCAATGTTCAAATTCAGGCACGAACAAGTCGTTTCTCATTGCCTGTAACAATATGGTCGGCTTCATTTTTAAATATATATATGAAATCCTTGCCTCTTATCATAGTTAACACAAAGCAAGGACTTTCTGAGGAGCCACTGGCGCTTCAACAGTGGCTTGAGGATTATAAGCACTCCGAATAGCAATTCAACCAAAAGTGTGCTTCATCGCTGTACAAAATTTATTGTGAAAATCAAAATCGGTGGGCATCTCTTTTAGGGCACAAGTTGTATTCTGTAAGCCCATATAGTCTCATAGACTCATTCGGATCTTCTTCCACACTCTGCTCCACAGCAAAATTGGCAATGCGCAGTATACGGCGTCTCTAATAAATCGTATTTTTTACCATAACCTTGACTTTGTCCTTTCACTCGCTAATTTTTCGTGAATTTTGTGTTGTTTCGGTGAATGTATACCGATTGATGTTCATGAGAATTTCTAAAAATTTTTAGCATTAAAAAGAAATCAATAGAAGAAGAGGAGAAAGTGATTCGCCAAATAACATTTCTGACAACGAATTTTCGGACAATGAAAACGATAAATACGAATTGACTGGTTATAAAAGGAGAGTGATGACACCGACGAAGTATATGAGGAACGATACACTAAATCTCGAACTATCTTATGACGTATATTATCTATTTTGCTTGCACTTGGATTTACACCTAAGATAAGGTGCAGCTCTCACATTAAACTAAAGCTAGCAGACCATTCACAACGCCGTACAAACGTCACGCGGGTGCTCGAACCAGAAACAGTGGACTACGATTTTTTGAACAAAATTTTCTTCGGCGCCGAGCCATATTTTTCACATAAATAAAGTAAATTGTCACACTTGGGGCTTAAATAAATTAAAGGAGGCCTATACATCCAACGCTCTTTAGCCCGAAGGTCTGATTGGACCTTACTTCCGGTCACGTAATCTATTTTGGCGTTGTCAAATGCCTATCGAGATCGAAGAATTTCACTTTTTTGTGGAGTTACGTGGCTCTTGAACACTTGGAAACCAACATTTGTCAAGTTTTGGCCGAGATAACTGTCAAAAAGTGATCGAAAATTACTTGAAACGAATCGAAATTCGATGATGTAGTGTTTCACATATAATGCCAAGGCTCAAACTTTGTTCTAAATATATTTTTTATATACAATATTTTATATTTGTGATACATTTCTTTTTTTTTTTACTTTTTATAATTAACATGGTTTTTTGTTATAACATTTAAAGAAAGTGAAAGGAAATAAATCCAAAGGTCGCCCAGAAGCGACTCCTTAGCTTTTAAGTATAAAGTCAAGATGAATTAGAAAGTTGTGAAATTTAAAATATACAACAAAATAACAATAAGAACAACTGAAAATTAACAACCGTCTCGTGTATCAATAATCCAGAGATTTCCAAGTTTGTTGCCTTTGACAGCTTTCGGTTTAGCGCAAGAAAGCTGTAGCATAAGGATAAGCGCTATATGCCGCATATGGGTAAGAGTAGGCGGCGGCGTAGGGTGAAGTGTAGGCAGCCGTATAAGCAGCAGTGTATGGAGAAGCAGCTACCACAGGAGCGGTATAGGCGGCAGTATAAGCCACGGGAGCGGCGACCACAGCTGGCTTAGCAGCCACGTAAGCGATCATGGCGAACAAACAGATGGCGAGCTGTATGAAAAGAAAGATGAGAGATATTTAAAAAAATTTAGATCTTACTTCTTGTGAAGCTTCTTAATTATGCTTTACACTTACGAATTTGAACATTTTGATTTTCTTTGATTTATTGGTAAGTTTGTCGATTAATTACTTAACGTTGTTCTACTGCAACTGATGACACCACAGACAAGTAGTAGGCATTTTATACTCAAAAATTCTTAATAAATTCCCAATTTGATACGTTTCATCAGCTGTTGTGGCATATACATACATCTACATATATATATGTACATACTTGCATACATGGTATATTGTTGGCCACTCTCAGAATTTGTGTCACTGATCATTACAGTAATCAAAAATTCATAGTGAGTCCTAAAAATAATAAAATTATATAGAAATCAAAATATGTATATATATATATATGTATGTATATGTAAAATATCTATATATACTCATTTACATGATTTTCTGGCAATCCGGTCACAAGTACCTCAACAGTTTGCCAACACTAGACCAACGCCCAAAGCCAGTGCTTGAGCCAATATTTAGTATTCTCAAGGGAATTGCTTTAAAATGACTACAAGCGCACATACACACACGCACATGTGAAATGTAATAATGGAATTATTAAAAATTGTAACAGCAACACTTTTGTTTTCAATGCAAAATTCTATTTACGTATTACTGCGGCTCTGTGTCACTAAACTAATCAGTCAATCGGTCACTCGTCAGTTCATTGTTGGCTACCCCATTTTACGCGTCTTCTCTGTGCGCTATAATAAGAGTATTGAGTAATCACGAGAAACGTGTCGCGCATGCGAAATTCTTTAATAGTGTTTTCTTTAAAAAATATTTACGAGTTCTAGAGCTCAAAGCCAATTCAATACGATAACTACATTACAACAATTGAATGACTTCTATAATCACATAGGAAAACATTGCGGATTTGAATGAGTGAAGAAACACTTCCAAACTAATTATAATTATTAAAAGCATTAAAATATAATGTTTAACAGCTGCACTGATTCTACCGAGCTGCTTTTCCTTAATATGAAGAGCACCTTAATTTGTTGCCAACAAAGCTACCTTTGAATGGGATTTTGATGGATTTCTATGAGGATATCGTACTTCATGTGACTTCAGAGCGAGTAAATCTAAATTTTTTTTTTTCAAACATTAACATTTATTTATTGAATCCACTTCGACAATAAGTAATAAAATCTTAAACTAAACTAAAGCTTTAAGTCTACTGGTAGGAATGGGCTGCTGGCTCTTTAGAACGCTGTTTTGTCTCTTCTTCGCAGGCGGGCTTGACTTATTACATGGGCCAAGGTGTTAGCCAAAGAGTTCGGATATTTTGGCAGTTTCGTTAAGTATTTTTTGACTGCGATTTCAATTGGCCAAAAATTTACCTGCACCAGGTCTTGGAAAAGAGCCATGAGCAAATGACAATATCTCTACGCTAGATCTAAAGCAGCCTTCGATAGTAGGAAAAGGTCTGTCCTACTCCGCTCTGTAAGCTGGCGGTAAACAGCATCAAAAGCTCTTCGATACCAAACGAAGTTTCACTCAGAGTGATTTTTCGTCCATTGCTCACTTCCACCTTGTGCTGGCGAAAATAATACGAGCTGCTGAATAGAGATATCGCCGTTATTGATAGAATTCTACTTAACAACGCGTTTTGGCTCCCACATCACTGTTGTCAGTATAACATTAGGGTTTAATCTATTCGGGAACCAGCATTAACACCACTAGTAATCCCAGCTTTGCAATCCAGCGTGGAATCACTCTTACCAACGGCTGCTACTTCGCACTTAGTACGTAGTTGAAAGGCAAAGACAGAACTCTACAAGTCAGTCATCAATGCCGATGAGTAGGCGCTAAAAGTTTTCAAGAGAAAGGTTTCGCGGAATATTTGTGGTCCTTTGCGTAATGGGAACTTCGATAGAACGATGAGCTGGACGAGATGTACACTTGACATAGTTCTGCAAATAATGAGACTGTGGCTACGCTGGCTTGATCATGTTATTTTGATGGACGAAAACACTCCAGCTTTAAAAGTATTCGAAAGGAAGATTATCACTCCGATTAGCACCAAATGGCAAAGAGAAAGAAATGACTGGTTCGCTAAAATATTGAAAATTTTGCAGACCACTTTCGGAAGTAAACCTTTGCTGGTGGTATACTCAATTCATAGAAGGGGGAAAAGCCTTGAATATGAACATGTCATAAAACTCAAAACTCATTTCGAAGTGATCAGCCAACAACATTTCTCGAAACATGTTGTACATGCTTCAGAAAAAGGCAATGGCAAAATTCCAATTGATCGGATCTCAGGACAGATTACATAACCCGATAAATTTCGTAATAAAATAAAATATGATGCAAGGTGTATTCCCAAATATCCAAGTCAGATATAAAGATCATAGGTGAGTGAGTGAGTAAGCTAACCTCACTGCAACAAACTAAGATGTCTACGATCTATCCACACTATGTAGTCCAACATTGAAATCGAATGTGCCACAGAGAAGTCCATTGACATCGTTGAGGAAGCAGATGATTCATTCAATTATCCAACACATTTTTTAACGGAGGTCCCACTGTACGTGTGCCCACTATGATGCCACGTAACATAAATCAACGGAAACTCTGCAATGACTTACAGAAAAAATTACAATAAAACGTAATGGAAGTAATAATTCGAAACGGATCTTTCCAAAGTGATAACGTCCTAATTCCTCGAATCGCTATCATTCCATCCGATGCTCCCTTTCAACTCAAACGACTACAGTTCTTTGTTCGATCAGCGTTTGCAATCACTACCTTTCTTATTAGGTCAAGTAAAAAGTTCGTTCGGTTTTTTATTGATTTTTCAAAATATGATAACTTTGTACACTAACACATTTGTCCGACTTAAGTCAAAGATGTGCCGATGTGCCAACTTCATTATACCTCTCTCGTAGAAGGCTGCGTCCCTATTGGGAAAAAACTCGGAAATCCCATTCCTCAAGGGAGGCCAACTTCTCACCATTAAGCGCGTTCGCCGTGGACAGGAAAAGATGGTAGTCACTTGGTGCCAGGTCTGGACTATAAGGTGGTTGGTCCGAGCTCCTGGAACTTCTAACGCGTCACCAAAGACGTGTGTGACCTGGCGTTGTCCTGATGGAACAAAATTCAACCTCTGTTGATCAAAGATAGCTTCTTCTGAATGAGAGCTGCTTTGACTTTTCTGAAGCATGAAACATATTTCGAAGTGTTTGGCTCATCCTTTTGAAATGCCCACCATATCAGCAAGATTTCTTGTTGCCAATCGTTGATTTTGGAACACAAACTATTGAGTTTTGTAACGTGTTTATCCTCAAAGCTTTTCAACCTTCTTTGAATTATTTGTACCTCCAGCAAACATTTTCATCCGAAACAATCTGTTTACCGAAAGCTGTCTGTAGGCCACAGCTAATTTTCGACAATTTTTGAATGTACGTCGAAACAGTACTTGAACCCTGGCCAAGCGGATTTGTACGCCTCGCTAACTACTCGACTATTGCGGCAAAAAAATCTTGGAGCAACCCTATACTTTGGGAATAAGTTGTTCCTAAGAAGGTGGTAAACGCATACGAACAACATTGAAAGTCACTAGAAATGAAGTCCTGTGCTGAACAGAAGTTAATTTTTGAAACACAAAACTATTTTTTAATTTTATGTTTAGCACAGTAGCGTAGAGTTGGAGCTTATTTTCGAAATTTACTTTTAGGAACAATTTTTTTCTATATACATACGTGTACATATATGTATTTTGTATGAATGTAGTTCTAAGTTCATTTTGAAACTTTTTTTCGCTGGTTGCACAAGGAACCTCGAATATGTAAATAAAGCAAAAAAAAATATACAATAGAGGCCGTAAACATACGCGGCCGGAATGTTGATTGAAGAAAACAGAGCTTGACAATAAGCCTCCACTTACGTAAGTATGCACAAAAGTACATACAAGCATGACATACTGATAGTTATTAATATTGTATTACGTGTTAGTTCTTAAGTCAGGTAACAATACACACAAATATATATTTGATATATATATATATATATAATAAAATATATGAACATGAACATATACATACATTTGCGTAGCAAATAATAGCAGTGAGAAGTACTGTATAGGAAAATATGTGTATTTTGAAGAATTGACTGAGATTTCACCATTTTATTTAAAATTCCTTAGCTTGAAAATATTAAAACTAACAAAAAAACATGAAAGCTTAAATCACTTCTTATATAATATATGGTCATCATCGTAATCCGTCTGTTTTCGCTTTGAGTTCACAACAGTGATGACTCGATCGATTTCGTTCCTCATTTCAGTTGTCATTCATTCATATATTTCAGTTTCAAGCGCAGAGTTGCATGAAAAATTTATAGAACCAATAAAAGAAACCTTAAAGGAAGAAAACAAAACTAAAATGGTTACTTTATGATCTCTACAATAATCGTAATAATCTCATTAATGTACACAATCATTATGGTGCTTTTCTGACATTTCAATGCGATTTGCATTCCACTACAAATAGGTTTCAGCGATAATCTCTTCATTTGAGCGAAAGTTTTACCGGTGAATATACTTTTCATTTCCGTTTCAGTCGAGTTTTGTGCTTTCAGGAGCTTTGGAATAGGTTCACCAGTTGCTGTCCTTTCAGATGTCGATTGATTTAATACCGTTGCAAAGTGATGGATCCATGTTTTATTCATTAGTTGATATCGATGCAAAAGTCCTGTGGTCGATCTTTCATTTTAAAATGAGCGCACACCGTACAGTGCGATATCTGGAGCTCTACTAAATATGGTTGGCGTAGTAAAAAAAATCCCTTATTTTCCAATATATTATATATAGAATATAATAGGCGTTATTTATCTGTATCTTGCGTTGTATAAGTCCGATTGGGTTCCGCTAGATGGAGTTAAAAAGATGGCATTTCGTACTAAAAATACTTTTCCAACTGTTTTGTGATTGGTTGATTCAGTTCTGGTTGAGGGTGCGTCAAAGAGGGACACACTGATACTGTTACAGCCAATCATGCACTATTTCAGTTTCATCCCGGTTATTTCGATTCAAAAGAAGCTTCACGGAGTGGAGCGCCAATTGTCGAAAGTGCCGTTAAAATCATGAAAATCCGACCATTATGTAAGCACTGTTTTGATTGCCCAACTGCTAAAAATCATTCTTTCATCATTTTCACTTTTATTCAAAAATAATGGATTTATTTTTACTGCACCTAATATAAAAGACTTTGTCCTGAAAAACTGACTGATCAATCCCACAGCCTAACATATTGTTTGCAAAGACCTGAAGCTTTGAAGACGTGTTCTGCATATGACATATGCACCCTGCAAGAAGGGAGTTTCTGGAAAGATGACTCTTTGAACAAATGGAGAACACTGAAAGCTGGGCTTGGAACCAATCTAACAAAAATAATTTTTGATCATTACCCTTGGGAACACATTTCTTCCTAGTTGTGCGACCGTGCGACTTACAGTTCGATTTGCTTGAAGTTGCTTTTGGCGTATCTATTGTATTATCCATGATGCTTGCAAATTTACCAATATCGATAAAAAAAAGGTGATTGAAAATATCAAAAACTATTTGATATCTTAAGAATTAATAGAATTGTCCGTAAAGGACGTTTCGAAACTCTAAATAAAATCATTACAAAACATTAGAAACCCAAATTTGTCAAATGAGAGGAAAGAGTTGTTGTATTGTTCTCCGTCGGTTTTCGGCAGACTTTAACAGTAGTGCCTATGGGACGCGAGCGGACAAAGTTAAGTTTTGCGTGAAGGGAACTCATTTATGGCTTTCAGTGAAAAATCTCAACCTTACCGAAAATATTAGAGTCCATTTGAGAGAAGATATTACCGCCGGACAATTCTCAGATTTTCTGCTTAAAATAGAAAAAAGTGATTTCTGAGCTGAATAACAATAATTAAACTGTTCATACAACATTCAAGTTCAAGGTAGCTGGAATAGGCTTGAAAGAAAGTTGATTCTTCCATATTGCCTACTAAGAATACTCCGGAAAGTGAAGAAATATTATATATCACAACTCTATTTCTCTAATTACGGTTTCTCCTCGGCAGGGATTGTCATACACTCCGAGTGTATTAAAAAGATCGACGCATACCACAAATTGAAAGAGGTGATCGGCCGAAAATCGCTTCAGCAATTACAAATTTTTAATAATAATATAAACCCCCTTCCTTTATAATAAAAAAATTATATTTTATGAGTATTCAAAAAATTTCATATGATTATTATGTATTACTTTGAATTAAATATCTTAAAAAACCAACATAAAATTTCAAAAATTTTAAAATTTCAATTTTCAAAATTTCCCCAATCCCTTTTTCAATTTCCATGGGTTTAGTTAATTGCTCCCAAAATTTTTATAGAAATTTCTTTTAATATTACATGCCCGCTTCGTTGGCCAACACTGCTATTATTTTCATCGCAATTGTACCATACATGTATACGTATATATATGCATTTGTATGCCTGCAGTTAAGTAAAGAGTCATTTACAGAACACATTCATACTGAATTTTTCAGTTCCCTTTTTGTTTTGATTGAATGTTGGCAGCACTTATTGGCTGTGCTGGCTTTGTAGCTGACTTTAAGGTCTTCGAAGTTACTATTTTCACATTGAGCGCCAGTCGCACGGAAAGCGTAGAGTGAACAAAAGCGTATAAAAAATGCTCAAGTTTGTAAGTTTTTTACATTTACAAAATCGCCACGAGAAGCATACAAAAATCGATGATAACTATAAATCACATATAAAGTCAAACCAACAAAATGACAATAACAACACGCATAAAAACATAAAGAAATTCCTAAATAAAACCTGTGACAAAACAGCGAACACAATCAAAGAGAAGCCACCACTTGCAGGCTATTTGAAGTTTGAGAATGATAAACGCAATGCAGCGAAAAGTTCCGTTGCTGCCGCTCCTGCTACTATTGCTACTGCAGCAGCGAAATGTTGTTGCTCATCCAAAGCCAGGCAATTTTGCCGATGCAGCGGAAACGATCGATGTGCCACCGGAACACCGTGCACCACCACCGGGTGCTGCTGCTGCTGCACCGCCAGCGGGTGCTCCACAACCGGGTTTCGCAGTACGTCCACCCTTTGTGGCAGCTGCTGCACCGCTACCGCCCCGCGGCGTCTTCCCTTCTGTCGTCTTTCGACCGGCGTTTGCCCCATTCGCCAGCAGCTTAAATGGGCTCACGGTTCAGCATTTAGCCGCATATCCACCACGTCTAATTGCTCCGACTGTTGCACAGCAAGCTGCGTAAGGGAAGGTCAACAAATGCTAGCAGAGAAGAGAAAGGATTCATGCGCGTCCACCGATTGCATCACATACGAGAAATCCAGTGTTTGTAGTAGCGATTGTTACTGCACTTGCACCAATGCCTCATCTCTACAGCCCACGGCGAAGCATCCAACCGTATTCAAATTATCACCAGTGAAGCCTGAGACGTCGCTAACACAGTTTCAAATGAAATTAAAGCTATTAACCGGCACCACCACAAATTGTTGCTGATCCCACAGTGTAAAGTGATCTTGTATCTCAGCTGTAATTCATCTCATAATTATTCATTGAAAATTAAATAAAATTACTTGTTTTTGTTGTTCTCAACCAGCCCGTCTCCTCGTTTGGTTATGTGCTGTCGTGCAAATAATTTTTTTTCAGTACAATTTTTTTTTTTTTTTTTTGTATTATATAAATTTAATCGCCCCACTTAATTCGAAATATGGATATAATAGCGTTTAACTGTGTAAGTGCTTATGTATGTGTATGCATGTGTACATACACGTTTATTTGTATAAAAAAATAATAAGTTTCTGTTACGACTAGATCTACGAGAGCAATTCGAATTTTCTGCGTGTTATGCGAATTTTAAATGTTTTTTATTGCTTTGGAATTTCCTTACTCGATTTTTGATTAGCAATTTCGATTTCATTACTAAATATCGCTTTTTTCGGTATTATTTTTGAAAACATTGATTGAGTAGACATTTAAATTCCAGTCACATTTCCGCCATTCACTTGGTAGGTATTTTCATTCTCCATCGATTGTTGGTGTTCTCCAAAACTCTTCCGGCTCATGTTCATAACTAGAAACATGTTGAAAGGCACATACATATATATGTATTGGGTAGGCTACTACATTAACCTTTAGAACAACGGCTAATTGAGCTTTGACATCTCCAATGACATTCCCGAGTTGTTAATTATGCAGTGCAAGTTTTGCGGTTTACGAAGTGGTTACACAACCTACGCTTCAAGAAAATTGGGAAAGTTTGAAACCTTACCTCTAAAATGGTGAATCTTCAACCCATCATATGATTATAGATAATTAAATTATTTTCTATATATCCTCGATACTTCTCTACAATACTTCATTTGAACAAATAGTAAAATTTTTTTTTTTTTTTTTGGAGAACTAACCTTTATTTCGTTTTCCTTCGTACAGTGGTTGCCAATAATGAACGGATGTCTTTTTCAATGTCAAGTGAGAGATATGTCATTAATGGCCGCCACGGCTACGCTTACAGGACGGTACCCTTTTTATGAAATTTTCCATCATCAAATCGCATACTGCTGTATGCCCTCAATAGCTTTACGAATTCCATCTTTGAGATCTGCAAAAAATCTAGTTAAATACTAGTATGCTAAAGATGAAATCTTACCAGTTCGTTATTTGTAGAGTAGTCCACCACCAGCTAGAAATAACTGTTTTTTGATGATATATCGGCAGACCACGACTGAATTACATTTTCTGCTCTGTTTTATTGAAGTGCGCAAAATGGCATTGATCGCTGCATCGTCATGATAACCGAGTGGTTAGAGGTTATCTCTGTAGTGTGCCCGGCTCGATTCTCGCAACCGGCAAACTGAATTTTATTTGATTAAAAACTAAGGTGAAGAAGAAATTCAACATGCCTAACTGAACTAGTATTAAACTAGTATGAAACTGATAGCATAGAAGGACAATTGTCAGCTCGTAGAACATCGCCGTGTTAAAGATACCAGTTGCGTACATGCAAAACGGATGAAGATGAACTAGTTTGTGTAAAAATGTAAACTAGCTGGATTCTAGTTGACAACTAGTAACTTATTGGGAGGTTTCTGATATCGAAGCAGATTTAGTAAATAAATACAATTGTTACTATAAAAATAAAAGTTTATGTAGATTAAAGTGACTATTAAATTTAACGACTATTTTAACGATAAACGCTAATAACTGTTGTCGTTATCTACTCAATAATTTGCTAATTAAACGACGAATCTTGTTAGGTTGTCAGCGCTATTGGCAAAAGATTTTATATTTTATACATATATATATAAAATTGGCGCTTTGCAACCGCGGAAACGATTTTCGGCCGAGCTCCTCCTCCAATTTGTGATTTTTTACGTGAGGTAAGATCGAATGTTCAAAGCGTAAATTAATAGAAATCAACCAAACATGGTGAATACGCTGCTTTTAACGGCACTAAACTCTTAACGAGAATGGCTTAAATAGGTCCGAAAATATACCTACCTGCCATATAAGGGATCTTCTATTTTCTTATTATCGAATATGTCAAAGCTAAATCGTGTGGGCGAAACACCCTTGGAGATAAACACATGGTTAATGGGCTGGTTGAGCGGATCCGAGCGGCTACTTTAATGCGCCTCGAGTGAAGGAACTTTTACTTGCTACTAAATCTTGTTCTTATGTGTTTTTAAATGTTCATTGTTGTTAATGTGTTTATCAGTATATAGGTATGTTTATATTCATTTCGAAAATCCTAAAAAAAAAGATTAATTGACAAAATTTTTGTTTAACATTTTTTGATGATTTATTGTTTTGCCATTTAGAAAGTCCTCAACAACGTAGATATGTAACAGAAAAAACTTGTTACATATCACCACAAAGATCACAAAATTTTATAATTTGCTTGCCGCAATGTATTTTCCATAACAAGAGTCCAATTTAATTGCCTTTTGCGTGCGATTCCAGTTTAATATTAGCCCTGAGTAATATTTTTTTGCTTTACGTCTTCAAGTCGTTGTTACTTAAAAGGCGACAGAGTAAGCGGCGTTGTAAGGATAGTACGAGGCGTACGAAGCGACTGGTGCGCTGTAGGCGCTGTAAGCAGCAGCAACTGGAGCACTATAAGCGGCGGCAACGGGTGCGCTGTAGGCAGCAGCAACGGGCGCGGCAGCTACGGCGGGTGCAGTGTAAGCAGCGGCGACGACGGGTGCGGCAGCAACACCATTGTAATTGCGTGCGATATACTGTGAGCTCTGGGCGGTCACAACAGCTGGAGCGCTGTAGGCGATTACGGCGGGCTTAGCTGAGGCACAGGCGGTCAAAGCGAGAACAGTGAAGAGAATGCACTACAATGAGGGTGGGAGGAAAAAATATTAATTGTATCTTGTATTAGAATTGTTTTATTGAATTAACAATATCTTTGGATAATTACCGATTTGAACATTTTGAGTGTTGATTTTTTAGATTTTTACTGCAGAAGTTGCTAACAAGCGAAGTGCTGAAGTTGTACTACGATTCTATAAAAAAATTCAACCATCTTATATACTAGATCAAATGTTTATTATGCTGGTAAGTGGAAAGAGCGTTATACATCTGCCCGCCAAAATATTTAAAATTAAATCGTTTCACTTTTGCTGTATTTGTGTTTGTTTGTGCTCACTACAGAAGTGGTAAAATCCTAAAAAATTATAAATAAGAAAAATACGCTAAACACTTTAAAATATGCACATAATTGCATACATACAAACAACGTCATTGATTTATTTCGCATTTTTCCTTTCGGACACTATTTCGCTCCGATCATTTGCTTCCCTCGCTGTTGTTCCACAGAACAGAGCTTTGATCCACAAAACGATTTCGTTTGCCAAAAATTCATGCACAAGTACATATATGTATATATATAACATACCTGCATAAATACCTACACTGCATAATAATACTTAGGCATTGAATACCGTTCAAAGCAGAACTGCGGCAGAGTGCGGTGGGAAGTATATTCGCACGGGCGTTGGCAATGAATTGGACACAAGTCAAACTGAGGCTCTGTACGTGTTTGCAAATATTAATTGCCGGTCACCTTTGAGTACCGTCTGGTTTGATAACATTACTGAGTGATTTATAATGAATACGCGAACTGAGAATTGTGAAGGGAACCGAAGAGAGCATAAGTAAGTTAATAAAGACAGGAGATTTGAGTACATACATACATATGTACGAATTTCAGAGACACATGTTGTTATTTTGTCGACCGCCACAGTGAATCATACACGAGGGGAGTGCATGGGTATGGCCCCCAACAAAGAAAGACGAAATTCGCTCACTGACTTCTAATAACAACGCTTGAAAGTATACAGTAATGCCTACAGGAATCTCTATACACAATTGGCGCCTCTGAAGCAATTTTTCGGTTGAGCTCCTCCTCCAATTTGTGGTATTTGATGGTTTTTTTATTTGTTTAGCCTTTATTTCATATCCGAAATACCGAAATACACTCGAAGGGCTGGGCATTCCCTGCCAAGGGACGACATCAATTAGAAAATTTAACTTAATTTTTTATTTAAATTAATTGTCCATAACTTTTGGATGTTGGTGCCAAAGGGATTTTTACCCAAGCCTTCCGAATGTCAGTACGCAATGCCAACCACTCGGCTACCGCGGCCGCCAAATCAGGAGTCCTTACATACTCGTATGTAAAATAGCTAAATTATCGCACTTAATAGTTGTTGTTTAATAACGAGTTGAATAATACATCAACAGACTACATGGCTGATGTAGGCATTTGGAGATACCAAGTACAGCCAGATCCTTTTCTACCTAGTGTTTCCACCTTACTCTGCATCGTAAACTTTCAAATCTGGAGTGCTCTCATCCATTCAGATCATATAACCTAACCAGTGCAGCCGCTACTTTTTAATTTGCCAAATTATATTAATGCCGCCGTATATCTCATACAGCTCATCGTGCCATCGGCTGCTTTCCAAACTTATAGGGCTGCTTTCCAAACTCGTAGTGAGCCATAAATCTTAAGCAAAACCTTTCTCTCGAAAACTCCTAACGTCGACTCATCAGTTATTTTCACCATCCATGCTTCCGCACAATATAGCAGGAGGGGAACGATAAGTGACTTGTAGAGTTTGGTCTTCGCTCATTGGGAGAAGACTTTACTATTCAACTGCCTACTCAGCACCATGCAGCAGCTGTTGGCAAGAGTGATTCTGCGCTGGATATCGTTGAATACCCCTTGACAAATTCCTCACCAATGTCGTTTTATAAACTAGAATATAAATTAGAATTGCTAACCTCCCAAAGCGGGTCATAAACACGTAACCCCCAAACTAATAAGTTGGTCCCGCCGCTACTTCTAATATTTCAATGCCCAATTTTTGGGCAAATAATTTTTATTAGTATTCCAAACAAGTACTGAAAATGTTGCTGACGAATTTGATATACAAATTAGCCAAAAAGCTTAGTTGAAAGCGAAAGAGCCTCGATTAAAAATGAGCAAAAGTCAAGGAAATGTTGAGATGTTGTGATCATTGGAATTTCTTCCAGGACGAAGAAAAACCTAAATGAGGAAACAAAATTTATAAATTATTTTTATTATAAATTACCATCCTTCAGGAGTGCCATTCTCAAAAACCTTCTGGTCGAAAGTTCAACAAATGCCTTCCACGAACCTTCCTCTCAAACTGATATGTCACCGACAAAAAACCAAACAAACTCAAAAACTCCAAATGACCAATTCGAAACACCTTTGGAGTGGATAGAAAACATGAACTTCCCTTGCGCAGTAGAGGTTCAAGAAATTTCCCGCGGTTAAGTTGATGTAAAAAGCGCCCAAAATCCGAAAGTTACCGCGACATTCTGGAGAATATTTTTGCGACTACAACAACAACAAGAACATGAAATGTAACTCAAAGAAAAAACTAAAATTTTATGAACCTACTAAACAGCGAATGGTCCTCATACGAAATACAAATATGCTGGACAGTTGTGCCAACTTAACCACAAACGTAGTTTGGCAAACTCTTTGGTTTCATCGAGTTATAGGAACCAAATACATATTTTGGTCTAACGAAATGTATCGGAAACTGTTTAGTTGAAATTTAAGCTATTTTTGACTGGTAAAAAATCGAAAGAAGGAACAAAGACGTTTTGGACAATTAAAGCGTTTTAATGAGCGTTACCCCCAACACGATGTCCAAATTGTTCTACCCGTAAATTGTCACTTAAAGAAACCTTTAACGATGTGTCTTGGAATTTTCAGAGTTTTTTGTTTCTAGATTGAAGGAAAAAACTCGCCGGCGTTAGGTACGAAGGTGACTTTCCATCGTATAAGAGAGCAAGACTTGATAAAATTTTTCAAGATATTATTATTAGTTCCAATCTAGAGCTATTTCAGCTTTTAAAACAAAGAGTAGTGAAGCCTGCTAAGAGTGAAAGAGAAATAGGTTCAAATTCCAACCAAAATCTAAAACGAATTCTAATATAAATAATTTTTTCTTGACTAGAGCACCTATGAGTTGAATATAGATTTTGACTACCAGTATGGTGAAATATTGCTAGACACAAGGTGGCTTCGATGATTCTTTTCTTAACCACTTCAATGACTTTTAGTCGAATTTCTTCCAAAAGTATCCTGCAGAAAAAAAGGTAGACTATTGTGCAAAAATTCTATTTAAGCACTAGTATTTGAAGCCCTCATATTAAAAAACTAGAAACCATTCTCATATCAATCTGAATACACGCAATAAAATGCATTATAATCGGTTCAAATATTGCCGGAATCAATAGAAATGGTTTTTACTAATCGGATGCCACTCGATCTGAGGCGAATTAATTGTCAACTGGTATGAACGCACCAGTATTTTAACTGGTATATATGAACTAGTATTTAACTAGTATGAAGCAGAGGCAAGGGCAGACAATCGACACTTCGTAGGGCATCGCCGTGTTAAAAATACTGTTTGCTTACATGGAAGATAGATGGAATATTTACTAAATGGTTGGTGTAAAAATATAAACTTGTTCGAGTCCACAGCAACAACTAGTATTTTTCCCGGCAGAGTAGTGATTTGTCTTTTCATAAACGTATTTCCCACTTGAAGATAATTCACATAAGAGTTTCGTCTCAACTTCATTGGTATTTTTTTGTTTTGACAGATTAATGTTTGAGGGATTGGTTCACATAAAAAATATTCGATGCGCAGCGAAGTGAGGTGAAAAAAAGTTCCTCAAGTTTACCACATTTCCACAATTATCTGATGCAATACACGATTTTACAACCCCACTGAAGAGTAAAAATTGGGAAGGTCTTTCATTGCTTGCTTCACTTTGCTCTCAAATTTTCATCTATCAGACGAGGCAAATGTCTTCATTGGAGTACTTCTTTGAGAAAGGTCTCACTGTACTACATACGGGTATGTATGTATATAAATCCAATAATTATTAATTTTTTCTTATAAATTTTTTATTTGTATTCCTTAATATTATTATAATATTATTTACTTGTTGTTTTATTATTTTTAATCACATAAAACTATCTTTGGTTTTCTTTCGCCGCCACTTCATCAGCGTCAGTTCGTAGTAGCATCGTCTTCGTTCGCCTTAGTGCTCTACATTTGAATTAACCGTTGCACTGGAGTGAAAAACTATGCTCGCCCCTCTTCTCGTGAAATAGTCGCGTCTTCGGATCTTCCACGCATAAACCATAACCACACCAACCAAGAGCACAATCATTGCCAACAAAGCGATTTTCATTAACAGTAAATACAATTCCAAGCGTTTCTCGTGCAGGCGCAGTGTGCTCATCGACTGTTGCAGAACCTTTTGCAGCGAGTTCATGTCGTTCAACTCATCCTTCACCTCCTGCAATGAAGCTTTATCCACTGCCTTGGTGTTACTAATACAAGACACATCTCGTATGTGCGCGCGCTCAACGGCATTGTCCTCCGGCTCGATGTGTAACATCACGGATGTGAAGAGCTGCGGCGGCACCAGCAGTGTGTGCAAATAAGTGCAGTTGAAGTGATTGCGCGAAATGCCGAGCTTGGAGAGATTCGGAAACACGTACGAAAATCCACCCTTGCCTTGCACCTCAGTCAAGTTATTGCCATCAACATAGAGATAACGTAAGTTGGCTAAATATGGCACAAATATATCCAAATTGAGTTCCGTCAAATTGTTATATGACAAATCGAGACTTTCCAAATTCAACTGCTTGGAGAGCATGCCAAATGTGAGATGACGCAAGCCGATAGCACGCAAGGAGAGCACACGCAGTCGTTTCAGGCGGTCGAAGGTCGTAATATTGACCGGTCCAATGGGGTTGTTGGCCAAGTCGAGCTGCAGCAGACCGGTGATATTTGTTATGTTCCTAATGTCACGCAAATTGTTGGCGCCCAGAAAAAGTGTTTCCAGAAACAGTGTGTTTATCATCTGCACCTCGGCGATGCGATTGTGATCGGCGCGCACATGCTTTGTGCCGTTAATGAAAATGCGTGTAAGGTTGTTGTAGTCCACCTGCAGCTGAGTCAATATGCTCTTGTTGCCCAACTCGAACTCTGTCAAATTATTCGCTGTTAGCAGTAAACTCTCCAAACCGTATGCGGATTGAAAGCTCTCCGGATGTATGCGATAGATGTTGTTGTAGGACAAGTTGACGTCATCAATGCGACGCAAGCGATTAAACACTTCCGGTTCAATGTACTCTAAAAGATTGTTGTTTATCGCAATCGCCGACAAATACTGATTCTCCAGCAATAGATCCTTCGGCAATTCTCGTATCAGATTGTATGAAAGTTGCAGCTTATCTAAACTGCCTAGTCCTTTGAATGCATTCTCATTCAACTCCTCGATCTGATTATGACTGAGATCGAGCCGCATCAGACTGCTGGCACCCATAAAAACGGATGTGGCGATTTGTGTTATGTTGTTGTTGCTCATATTAAGCACACTCAGATTGCTAGCCGAGCCGAAGGTGTTGCGTGGCACATCCAATATCTCCGTGAAGGACACATCCAGCGTTTTTAGGTAAGCGAAGACATCGAATAGCTTGAAGGGCACATACAATAAGCGGGAATCGTAGAATTTCATGAATTTTGTATTATTCGCTTTGGGGTATTTTTGTATTTTGACAATTTGACTATGGGACACAACGAAACCGGAAACCGTGCAATAAGCTTCACTGGTCGACATATCGTACATTCGCTCGAACTCATCGCACTTCAATGTTATATCCTCACTGGCTGCGATACCGTTAAATACTATATTAAGGATACAAAATGTTTGTATGAAATTTGCTGATCGCGTCATTTTCGCGTGCAATACACTCTCTTCAGAGGGCGGCTATCGTTCAACTGAATTCCTTTAGTGTATGGAAGGCACTTGGTGGAAAGTCTGTTGCGTCTCAAGCGATCAAGGAAATGGTTACAAGCTTGCAGATATGCACATACAAATATGCAAAATACATAAGCAGATATGAAAATATTAAATATTTAAATGCATTTATGTATATATAAATAATTGTATTGTTTAAATGTAAGTCAATATATTTTTATCAATTGTCGCTCAGCGCTTTGAATGGAAAGATAAGTTCAATATAGCGCGTAATAATAGCCCCAACAAATCATCCTACGCTTATACGTTGCATACATACATATATATATATATATATATGTAAATGAAATTAAAATAAAATAAAATAATTAAGACACTTTTTCGATTCATTTCACATCTCATTGTATTTATGTATATGCAATTACAATTGTTTAACGCAAATTAATTAATTAAAATTTAAATTATTAATTTCTCTCTTTTTTAAATTTCATCAAATTTTCTTAAGAATAAGGAAGGATGATAATTTTGATATGAAATAATATCAAATTTAATGCATTACAATTAAAATGAAATTAAATTAAGAATTAATTGAATTTGAATTAAATAAAATAAAGCGAATTTAAAATAAAATTAACTAAATAAAAATATAATAATGAAAATTGTATAAAAATTAAAATAAAGGTAAAAAAATATTAATAAAAATAAAATAAAAAAATAAAATAAAACAAAAGTTTAATAAAGTAATATAAAATAAAATAAAAAAAAAAATTAAAATTATTGAAATTAAATTAAAATTTTTAATTTTAAAACTATAAATTGATAAAAAAAAATAAAATAAAATGAAACCAAAGTTAATTGAAATAATATAAAATAAAATCAAAAATAAAACAAAACGACAACAAAAAAAATACTAATGCGAAATAAAATCAAATTAAAGAAATAAATATAATAAAACTAAATAAAATAAAATATTTAAAATATATAAAATAAAATCACAGTTTACCAACATTTTGAGACTGGGATGTTGCTAGTTTTGGGTTGCTAAAACCATTGCCATTAAAAATGAAACACAATATCAGCCAAATAACTGCCACGGCTAAGCTTACATGATCGTATCCCTCTAATTTTCCATCATCAAGTCGCAAAGTGGCTGCTTTATGCCCTCAATAGCTTCACGAACTCCATCTTTAACATCGTAAGTCGAAAGAAGACGCAAGTTATGAAATCAAAAGATCTCAACGGTCAAGTGCGATCACCTCTTCGAGAGATATCACGGTCCGGAAATATTCCCCTTAAAAGATCGATGGTTTCGTTGCCTCTGTGGCACGTAGCGCCATCTTTTTGGAAGTAAGCCATGCAATCCGGCCATAAAAAATCATTAATTATACCTCGAAAGCGCAATCCATTCACCGTAACTGCTGCTTCAGCCTCAATAATCGCACCAAACAGTTACACTTTGAGGATGAAGAGGCTTTCCAACAATAACTCTTGGGTTTTCCGAGCCACATATGCGACAAGATGGTTTTCCGAAGAAATTTCGCATCATTTTCATGTACTTCATGGACCCAATCAACGAAGACACGACATTGTTGATGATAGGCGTGCTTGAGTTCTTGAATCAATTGAACTTTATAAGACCCAAGTCTTCGCAAAATATACAAAATACGGCTCAATTCCATAGAACGACGAAAAATGCACCCACCTGGGTTCTCTTTAACTATTTGAGATACAGCAGCAATACTCCCAGTTGTTCTTAGCGACGTGCACGTCATTTGCTCTTCACATCATTAACTTATCCCAGAAGCCCAAAAAAAATCCATCTTCAAACTTCAAACTTTCTACCGGAATAGCACTTTTGATAGGAAAACTCTTTATAATAATATCATGATGGCCAACATTACGTACTGCGATTTCGAAAGCCAGGGTTCGAGTCTTGGTTCGATCAACATTCAAAATATACAAAGGAGCTCGGCCGAAGTGAGGTTGCGGTGCTCCAGTTATGTATTTCTGGTACTTATTTTAGTGGGGCGTTGTTCCTTAAATTCGCAAAGCAATGCCAAAGCGCGTATTTTTAGATGAAAGTGGTTCGAAAATGAAATAAAACTGAAATGAAGAGGGTGAATACAAAAATGTTTAAATAAAGAAATTTTCAACGGTTTTCAAAATGAGAATGCCTGATGGTCAACGTTCGGGCGCGGTTATTGAGTTTAGTGTGATGTGAAATGCTGAGGAAGATATGATCTTGGTCTGACACCAGGAAGAGTCCGTAAATGTAAGTGTTTATCGTGTCAAATCTTTAAACCAATTTTAAGTTGCAGAACGAAACACTTTACATAATTATTTTTAATCTTAATTTTATGCGGCTGAAAGATGGTTGACATCCCAGGGCATTGTTATTTCTCTGTTAAATTTCCTTGATAAGTCTGATTTAGACTAGAGTTAAAAACAGTTTTACAGTATTTTGTGGTTTATCGCGCTGGAATATTAGCAATACACATACATACATACATGATAATTATAAAGTTAAGTCACCTCAATCTCTCCATATAAACACTAATTTTACGTTTTACACATTTACTCTCATACCCAATCATATGTAGATATGTAAGAACTCATTGCAGTAGTACTTGAAAAGGCATTAGTCTGGTAGGCTTGACCGAAGAGAAAAATGCTTACTTCCGTTCCGATAGCAGCAGAGCTTTGATAAATTGGAAGACCTTGAGTAAGGGCAAATATTAAATATAAGAGTAGTGGAAATAAAGCAACTTCAGTTTAGCAAAAATAACTGATTGTTCATACGTATATGCATACCTACCGACGAGTACCCAGAGTATGCATGCAGAAGCCAGACAGATGAATTTATATAAAAGTTAAAAGAAATCTTCATGTGTTCAAAGGTTAAGCGAGGCGAAACAATGGAAATAAACTCACAGATAAGCAATGAGCATAAAATAACAGTATTAAAATAATAAAAAATTAAATTTTTTTTTTTCTGAAAATTCAGAATTTATTATACCAGATATCGTTAAGCGTTTTTATCGTATTTATTTCACATATAATATCGTACATATATCACAAAAAACAGCAAGGGAACCAATTACTTCTTCAACAGCAGTGGTGCAGCGTAGGCGGGCGCATAAGGTGCTGCGTAATATGGTGAAGCCACGTATGGCGGGGCGAAGTATGGTGCTGGAGCAGCGGCGGGCACGTAGGGTGCAGCGAGATAAGGCGCAGCGAAGTTTCCATGGTATTCGCGCGTGTAGATGGCAGCTGATGGCGCCGCGGCGATTACGGGCGCAGTGTAGGCCAACACGCTAGGCTTAGGCTCAGCATTGGCGACAGCGGCAAGGACCAAAAGGATGAAAGCGAAATTCTTAATCATTTTGGAATTAATTTTAATTTTTTTTTTTAATTTTTAACGACGAAATGTGTTTATTGAGCAGTTGGTTGCACTGTTTTGCTATCGACCACTTGGCTACTCCGCGTCTTATATACGAGCACAATTCCAATTCAACTTTTCAAACAATTCAAGAACCTTGAGTTCCATAACGGTTATTTGGTACTTGGTTTTTACCAACGACAGTGGAAAGCAGACGCCTGTGAAGCAGCCAAAAGTAATGTTTATTACCAACGGCGCATTCGTTCCTTTTGCGGTTGCGCATTGTACGTTGTCGGTTGGGTGACAGCTTTTTAAGGAATTGTCAAAAGTTATGCAATTTCACTCAAGCGTCCAATTGTACTTTCGCAATAAATAAACAATATATATGTACGCATTTGTTTGTGTACACATTAAGGTTTAAACAGTTTATTATAAACAATGTGTTACGCTTTGCTTGCGCGCTATTCGCAGTCGGCGGCAGTGCAACGTGACTGCCATCGGTGATTAGGTTTGTAATTAATATTACCGCTAAAGCGACTATCCGCCTACGTAGAGCAGATAACGCGGCTACTAAATCTCAAATAAATCCGCAACTCTATAAAATTATTCCGTCTGTCAAATTATCGCATTTAACATGTGTATGCAAGAAAAATTAATTTTTTCTCTAAGTTCTGAAGCACAAAAAAATGAGAATGAGCGAGAAATCTCAAAGGTTTTATTATTGTGTCTTCCAATAAGCGTTAAAAAAAATTATGTTGATCGCACCGCACCTTTATGCTCCTATGTCTGAATTTTGTATCACCTCAAGGGATCGCCATGTTGTAACGACCGCCTTATTCGCTCGATATGTCAAAAGAACACAATTTCAGTCGATTGAAGATGTCCAGGTGGCCGTAACGAAGGCACTCGCGGACATCCCAATCGAAGCGTTCCAGTAATGTTATGAATCAATGGAAACGTTGTATGGTTGCCCACGGGCACTACTATGAAGGGGATGGCAGAGTTGGAAAATAGTTTTGAAATATACGTTTTTTACGGAATTAGTCTCATTACCTAAGAGTCACACCTCGTACAATTTTTCCAATATATCGGTCCTAGCTAACTCGAGTCGTCTTCCTGCCAAACGCAATACCACACTACCTAAGTTCCTAATTTCAAGAAGTTCGAACTTTAAGTGAATTTTACTAGTTCAGTGGGTTCTTTGTTTTACCAAACCCAGTTTACTGAATGTAAAATATTTCTCTTTCAATTTCACTCAATTCACACATCTTCTTATTTACAATCTTCTTCACATATATGCCATAAAATGCTCGTTTTTAAATTCAAAATGGAACAAAAATAACTATGAAATGCGCTGAGTAATAAAATCGCGGAAATTATATGGGCTTCGACACGTCTGTACTCAGCTAGCTCGCAGACAGCCTAAATGTATGCAATAGCCACATAATAAATTTATAATTGTAGATGTAGCTTGCTTCAACCTCACACATGTCACCCAGCCGGAAAATTTTGACTCTCTTAAATTAAAAAATCTACATAAATTATTAACATTTTTTTATTTTATTTTTTTTATTTTTTCATTTTTTTTTTTTATTTTTTTACCTTAATTCAAACTCAATTAAAACTCAAGGCACCACTTGCTCCAAAATTAAAATTCAAGCCAAAACTAATTGAAACATTTCCAATTGGTTTGAACATTAAATGATAGCCGTTGTGTATAGGTTTCGCAGGCAATAATGTTTTCTTAACAATTTTATACAAGGAATATCCTTTGCGTTGTAGTAGTACATAGTAGTATTTTAATTGTTGATTAATTTCGTCGAAAAAACCTGTCGGCAAATTCTTCAAATCAACATCCGTTGTCGTCCATAAAATTACAATTTCTTCATTAACTGTCCAATTGGTGTAAATATGATTTGAAATTTCTGTTCTTTTATCATTTTCAACCTCGTGACTGAATTGACGACCGTTACTCGTTGCTGTTGCACGGCCAATGGTAGCTGGATAGACCGTAGCTGTTCGCACACAATGTGCTGTTGCATAGCCAACAGTCAATATGATATTGTAAGTCGGTATGAAGAGCAACACAACTGAGAAAATTTAAAATTAAATTTAAATTTTTATGAATTAGCTAAATAATGAAAAGTATTTTAATCAACATATAATTATTAATTCTTTATTAAACCTTTATGTATACGAGTATTCATATTTCAATTCAAATAATAAATATATTCTGCTCTGGTTCTTATCCAAATAATTTGAGTAATGCAGTGTTTCACACCTTTTATACCAAACTTCCGAACTTCGTTAATTTATATTTAAATAAAAATGATAATTGCATTATGTCAGTCAAGCCTTCACTCTCCATCCTTTCGCTTGAGTCTCGTTTACGTCTATCTCATATTTCTCTAGACATAAAAATGGTTTCACTGTGTTGAAGTATTTAGCAACCGAATGTTTTCTTATTACTTATTACTGTAAATCTCTATTTTGACACGCTCACTATTTCGCTTTTGCCCTAAGGACTTTTAATTTACCTTACGCGCTGAAAAATATTTATTTGTGTAGGTGTAGATTTATGTCGCTAGCCGAAGGTATTTTAATGTTTCCAAAAGACAAAATTCAATTGACACAATAGCGGAGTGCGTACTGCCATTTTGAAGGTCAGGGTTCGAATTTCGAAAATTATAGAAAATTAATTTTTCTAATTGCGGTTGCGCCTCGGCTGGGAAGGTCACCCCTCCGTGTGTATTTCTGACATGAAACAAAATGCTTCTCATAGAAGTCCATCAGTTGTTCGTAGGCGGTTGAGGTCCCCCTATTTGTTAGAAAAAACATAAAAAACATTATTACCCTACAACACTTTGGATTGGTTCCAAACTAGAGTGATTCGCCAACTTGGTCGAGCAGTGAATTCAGGCCTCAACCCCGGAAAGCTATAGGGAAAAAATCTGTCCACGGCACAAAAAAGCAGATAATGAAGTGAAAGCGAACTCATGGTGATTCTTCTGCTCAAGGCCGTGCATGCTGGTTTCCCTGCTACTGGTTGCACCAGAACCATTTGCATCTTCGAAACATCAGATTGAAAGGTTACAAAAGGTTTTGCAATAAGAGGCTTTATTTTGATGTTCAAAGAAAAGACAATTTTTTTGAGATAAATGATCGGTGTTTAATTCAAGAGAAGAATATGCCATTAATAATGGAAAACAACCTCAGGCAAATGGCCGTCACTTCTAAGCTACAGAATGGTAGTCCTTTTATGAAATTTTCCATCGCCACATCACAAGATGGCTGCTGCCCTCAATACCTTTACGAAATCCATCTTTGAGGTTTTGAATCGTCGTTGGCCTGTTGGTGGAGATCTTATCGATTGCGTGGTCCCAAAGAAAGAAGTCGCAAGGTGAAGCCAGGTCACTCTCCACCTGATCCTTACAACGGAGTTGAGGTCTTCCTCTTTCTCTGCTGCCAAGGTACTGCATCAAAAACTTTCAAAGCTGAAAAGTTTTCATGTCAATATCATCGTATAACTCATACGTCTCATCTCCAATATAGTCGATATCAGGGGTGTACGTCAGTAGCTGTACACTCTTGTAGAAGACTATACCTTCTCTATTTAGCTCTGCAGATCGTATTATTTTCTCCACCAATAAGTAAAACGATAAAGAGTGACTTTGTCTGAAACATCGTTTAGTATCGAACGGCTCGGAGAGGTTCTTCCCGACCCGGACGGAGCTTTTAGTGCTGCTTAAGGTCAGTTTACACAACCGTTAAAGTTTTACGGGATCTTGCTGCCGTAGGCCGCTTTAAAATCGACGAAAAGGTGGTGTGTGTCGATCCTCTGAATATCTGATGAATATCTGGTCAAGGGTTGACTTACCGGGGCTGAGGCCACACTGATAAGGTCCAATAACTTGTGGACGGTTGGCTTCAGTCTTTCACACAATACGCTTGACAACACCTTTTATGCGATATTAAGAAGGCTATTGCAGATAGTTGGCGCAGACTGGGGATCGTTTTTTTGCGGATTGAGCAGAGCACACTTAGGTTCCAATCGTCTTGCATGTTTTTATCCGACCATATCCGACTAGTTCTTCACCGCCCCATATTTGAATAGCTCGGCCGTTAATCCATCTGTCCCTACCGCTTTGTTGTTTTTTAAGCAGGCGATTGCTATTCGGACATCTTCATGGTCAGGTAGAAGAACAATTATATCTCCATCAATTGGAATTTCAGATTCACCTTGTCCGGGTGCTTCATTTTCACTGCCACTCACCAGACTGGAAAAGTTTTTCCTCCATAGATTCAGTATACTCTGGGCATCCGTCACTAGCTCACCCCTATGGCTCCCACAAGTGATTTGTAAAGTTTAATGATGGAGAAAAAATTTGAGGAGAGTTGCCACCTGTTTAAAATTTTCTTGGTATTGTTAAAAATAAAATTAATAATTAATTATTAATATTCCCTGAAAAATAGTCAAAATTTATGAATATCAACAAACAAAAAAAAATATTAATATAAAAGATTTCTACGATTCTTTTTTCAATGTTAATTTTGGTGTAGCGAAACACACCAGTTTACCGTTAATTAATAAAAAATAGAGTAATCTGATATTCAAGTATAAAGCACAGCAAACACTCCGCTTTGTTGTAATAAAATAGAGAAGGTAGTTTGAGGTTTTGTAGATCTCTTAACCATTCGCCACCGCACATACAACATATTAATCATTTCGATCACTCCCATGTGATTGACATACGAACATTTGGGCAAAAAGTAATAAGGCTTATTTTTAATTTTTAATTTTTTTGTTTTTTTTTTTTTTTTTGTTTTTTGATACGAAACAATCGCTGCCCTTAAACCCCACAAAAGTCATTGTGCGCACTGTTTTGAAACAATACCACAAAAAAATCCATTCGAATAAAGCCATTTGAGAATCTTATGTATCCGCACACATTTACCTCACCTGTCAGCGCACTTACCCACATATGTATGTATGTATGTATGTAAGAGTTAATCAAAATTTGATATGTCTTATGATGTTGCAATTTCGACCAAACACTGCTAACGGTGCAACTTCAAAACATTATACATTGTCTTGCGAGTTTCGGAATATGATTTTGCCACCAACAAGAAATACGGAAGACACAAAAGTGCAGCAAACATGCGCGCCAATGCGACAAACATTTAGAAGATTTTGTATATAAGCGCAGTCAGAACACATTTGGAGCAACATTAACTCACTGAGTGTATAGCTTCATAGTTAAAAAAGTTCTACTTGTGGAAAAAAGATCCGTAAAATGTTTAAGTTGGTAAGATGCCAACACAAATATTTATATATGTAGATATGGAGTTATAAAATCGGGAATTTTAATAAAAAAAATTTAATTTTTGTTTACATCCCATTTCAGCTTATTTTGTTGTCATTTTTCGCCATGGCTTTTGCTCGTCCTGGCTACCTGCATTCGGCACCGATTCTAACCACTTACCGCGAGGAGCAGTTGACTGCACTGCCTGCCGCAGTGCATATTGTTGAGCCCTTGGTCACTACTCAGCAAATTGTAACACCCTTACTCCACGGCTCAATTCTCAGTCATGGCTTGCCCTAAGTTTGCCTACGATGCGTGTACGAGCATATGTATTTATATACAAATGACGGTCAGATTAAGGCAGCGAAAAATATCAGATGAATTTGAATGATCAACTAATTAAATGCTGTTCAATAAAGAAATAATAAATAAATCACTATGATATATGTACATATGTATCTCTCTTTTATACTCTTCAGATAAATTACATCTTGACATATATGTATATGCATTCGTATTTAGTATGAAACAAGTTAAAATGTTCTAATGAGACCGTTGAATACGAACACTCAAATGATCGCTTAAAGTTAAAAATGTCGCTCAACATATATCTCTTTCTTCTTTGTTCCACTCTGGAAACTTGTCTAGTCGAATGATTTGGCTTCTGTCATTGATTTGCTTTGTTTAACTGAAGAGTTCTGGAGATCGCTTCACATTTCCTTGATCAGTAGACCAATGCAACTTGTGGTCATTCACCTAGGAGTTGCCAACAACGATTCTTTGACATATAGTTTGGCCAGATAAAGACCTCCGTTCATAGACGAATTATCCTCTGGCAGCGACAAGTTAAAGTGTGAAGACAAACTCCATGTGACGGCATTAACTACCCACATCGTAACACTGTGATCTACCACAACACGACGTAGTATCGCAAGCTGAAGAACGGGTATGATAAGCGGCTTGTAGAGTTTGATTTTCGTTCGGCGAAAGAGGACTTAAATTTCAGTTGTCTGCTCAGTTCAATGTAGCAGCTGTTGGCAAGAGCAATTCTGCGTTGAATTTCAAGGCTGACATTGTTGCTGGTGTTTATATTGGTTCCAAGATAGACGAACTTATCTACGACCTTGAAGTTATGGCTGTCAACAGTGACGTGGAAGCTGAAACGGGTTTACCCTGATTATTTCTTTGTTGGCAGGAGATATATTTATCATCTTGTTCTCGTTTACTACCAGACCCAGTCGCTTACAATCAGTTTGCTGACAGTGAGCTTTAGTCTTTTACATAATACGCTTCACAGGACCTTATATGCGATGTTAAGGAGTATGCCTCCTACCACGGTAATTGGCGTATATTGTGGGAACGCTTTTTTTTTGTGAATTGGGCAGAGCACACTAAGGCAGCAATGTTGTTGTTGTTGTTGTTATAAATATAAAGGAAATATTCCAGGTAGGCGAAGTACTTTTTGGTGAATGTTGCAAGAGTGACAGCCCGTGCCCGTATAAAAATCCGGGTCGTTTCGGTATTAAGATCCGACTGTCGCGGGAACTATTGGATTTTGGTCGCCTCTTACGACATTCATGCCTTAAAGCGGGTAACCCGCAGGTTCCAATCGTTGGACATGCTTTCATCCGACCATAGTTTGTGAGGAAGCTGATGCATGCATCTGATCAGTTTTTCACCGTCATATTTGAGCAGCTCAAGCGCTAATCCATCGGTCCACAGCGCTTTGTTGTTTCTCAAGGGGGCGATTAATATTCGGACATCTTCATTGTCAGATAACGGAGCAGTTCCTAACTTCGCTTATACGGATATAAAGTTCTTTGGCCTCGTATTGGCCACAAATTAAATTCACTTTGATATTATTTTGATACGAACTAAGGAGGTAGTCCGGTAGACGATGTCCAGTGCAGACTGAGGGGCAGTGCAATATTTGGCGATGGTGCACCCGAATCCACAACTGATAACACATGTCATTATCGAACTGTGATGGAGTTCGAAAAGCGATTGAACGCTTGATGAAAAACAAAACGATGTGACAAAACAGCTCATATATGGCAGCGAAATACCTAGAAAGGTATGCATCAGTGCATCAGTTTCTGTGCATAATATACTCGTAGTCAGACGAAAGCATGCCCGACGACTGCAACTTAAGTTTGCTCTGTCCAATCCATAAAACAAGAGGGAAGAAGGTCCTTACAGTCTGCGCCAGTTAGCGAGGGATAAGCCTGCTCAAAATCACTTAGCGTAGTGTGATTGTAGGTGTGTGTGTGTGTGTGTATGTGTGTGTGTGTGTACAAATAGAACTCGTAGTGAACGAGTATTCCATTGTATAAGATGGACAAAATCTATATTAATTTATTTGGATACTCAATTTATTTGAAACCTTTTTCGAATTTTCACATAAACAATTCAAGACACTCAATGTATAAACTCATAGGTGACCGGTTTGTAGTCAGAACGATATTGTTGTTGAAATGAATCCGGTGTCTGCACGCTATTGTATGTCTCCACTGCTGGCAGTGGCACAGCTGCTTGGATGCGTGAATAGGCCAATGGCACAATGGCAGCGGTGCGTGTTGCAGGAACTGCAATGGGTAGTGGTGCATAGTAAGCCGCAGCGGCGCTAGCATGGGGCGTATAGTAGACTTCAGCGGCCCATGTCATGGTGCCCACAAGGCAGGCGAAGATCAACTGAAAAGAAACGAAATGTAATAATGTGTAAGTACAGCGAATTGTGCAAGGAAATATTTTGATTTTATTCAACATGTAAAATATATATTTAACTTAATTTTGTAATACCAATTTCTGCATTGTTCTTTACACAATTCAACCACTTCTACGAAAGAGTTATATGCCGAGCTGCTGTAAGTGCACTGATGTGTCTATCTGCCTTCAGCTGGCTTTTTTATATAAATCTTCCCTGAAAGCAAACAAGTATAGAAGGAAGGTATGCTGCTGCGGTCTCTGCTAGACTGCAATGCCAAGGACAATTGCTTAAAGGTCACTGCATTTGCTGAAGACTCGCTTGCTGCCAGTCTATGTACACACATACAAACAGATGTGTATTCTAGATGAGTTAGCATGGAAATATTCTTGTGATTTCAGTGATTGCCCCTACAAGTGGAATTGCTTAAGACGCTTGCTTGGCGATTTATGAAGATAAGGGACCTAGTTTGCTTGGTGGTTTGGAATGTAGAGAACAGAAAGTCAACGTGAATTCCAATGCGGATTTACTGTGCATACACTATCAGTACACTACAGTACGGTAGAGGGCAAAGTCTAGTGGTTGGTTGGTTGGTTAGTTGCTTTAAAGACAGAGGACAGAGGATGTCGACAATCTGACAGAGAACGCACGCATTAAGCCCTTGAGCTAAACCCAACTAAATATGGTTGAAGGATTTGCCTTATTTTATGCCATCTATGCTTTTGCAATTCCCTTTGGCCTAAGTTTGGGTCACATCGCAAAAATCCGCTGAAGCCTGGGCACTCGCAGGGTATTTTGTGCCGTTCTGCGCAAACCCTGCTTACTGCTCATCTAACCGTAGCGTTGATATCTCGTCAGTACACTTAGCACAGTGTGCGCCAACTATATGTGGTCAATGCAGTAAAAGCTCTTTGGAAAGGTTATTCCAATTTAATTTCAGCCATGTATCGCTTAACGCCAAAAGAACGAGCGGAAAATTACAACGTATATTGAGTGCAATCGTTCAGTTGTTGCGTTCGTATCGGAAAAAGGTTGTGCTGCGCCTAAAAGTGGCACTATTCGCCGCTGGTCACAGGTCTGCACATAGCGGAGTGCGGTATCGAAAGGAGGGAATATCGAGTGGCCATCAAGATCGCCCGATTTGACAGCACCAGACTTTTTCTTTTGGGTCTTTTTGAAAAGCAAAGAGTATGCCAACGAATCGAGGACTTTGGACGAGCTGAAGAATAACATTCGAGCTGAAATCACCCGAAATGCTAGCAAATGTCACGGAAAATGTAGAAAAAAAAGCGAAGTTTTGTTTGCGCAATGAAGGAGGTCATTTGATCGACGTTGTTTTTCGAAACTAGCGAGAAAATATTGCATGGCTTTAAGTTTCAAGTTACTCAACATTTCCATTGACCACATATAGATAGCGCACCCTGTATATATCAGCATCACCTCAAGCGCTAGGTTTAAGGTATCTCAGAGCTGGCATCTAGCGGAGATTAAACATTGGAGGAGTGAAGCAGTTAACTTCTTTCTTCGCGAATGGTTGAAACCTGGACGGAAGAGTCGGTGCAGTAGTTTTATGTCACAGTCACTTGGCTACTACAGCAAATGAGCGCTCCTGTGACAGCTTTCGGTGTTCTTCAGTATGTTTATTGAACAAACCCAGCGAGCGATGGGTTAGAAACTCAGTATGGAAGCTTCTTTTTATACCAAAGGATAACACACTTAGTGGGGGATTTTGACTGACCGCTGTCCGTTGAGAATTCATGCGGTAAAACTTGGAGTTCCAGGCGATCCTCATTGTTGGAATTGTTTGCAAAAAGAGAAAACATTTTTTATTCACTTTCTCATATATTGTTCTGCATTTGCGAGACCACGAGTACAATAACAAACCTGAAGGAGCTAACCCGATTCACTGAATGAAAAGTGGGCATGTCTCATATGTCTATATGGAATCTTCTTTGGATCAGTCACCTGGTCTAACCTTTATATCAGCAATGTACTCTGCCACTGCTGTTTGGTGATTCGACATTTGAAGCCCTGAAAGTCTGGAGTCATCTCGAACGCCATTATACTTCCCTTTGACCAGCGACCCGAGTAATATTCAGCGTGTTATTCTCCATTAATCTGTAATTTTAATTCGGGTTGTTCTCCTACATTTGGGCTTTGCGTCAAGAAATTTAATTGATTTTGCAGCCATTTCGATGTCCGATAGAAATTTAATATATTTTCCTATAAAAGCGGATGCACATTTAGTGCCCTCAGTAATGTGCACAATCTCTGCCTTGGAAAAGAGGGTTTTCGTCATTGAGTTGGACACATCCACTATTAGAGCGGTCTTAGTAGACTGCTGCTACTGTGTGTGCCTCACATTTAGATGTAATTTCTTTTACTATTACTATCAGCTTTGTCTTCAGCCTATTCATTCCTTACTTGGCAAAAAGTTTCATTTTCTTCTCGGTCGTTCAATACGTTCAGCCTCATTTCCCTTAGCTGTCTTGTCCTGCAAGGTTAGGAGGCTTACTCAATCTTTATACATCACTTGTATATTAGTTGGTCTGAAGGGCGAGAAGGATTTCCAGGTTGGCTTATACTTGCTGGTTTTACGCCTTACATATACCCGTTGATTCTCTGTGGTGCCAGAAGAAGTCTCAATTTAACTTTAGCTAAGGTAGTCATCGCGTAGAGTGTCGAGGCTTTTTGCGAAGTTTTATAGAGCCTTGATATCCTATTTTGATACTTCAACTTATTCTTTAAACTATGAAGCTACTGAATGGTTATTCCCCTTCGAACAAAATTTTTTCTTGCGACGATGCAAATTTCACACTCAGGGAGGATACGTAAATAAGCGAAACTCTCTCATATTGTGTTCCGAGAATTTTCAAATAATTGAAGAGAGGCCTTTACACCAAAAAACCTTCTGTCGGGTGCAATCTTTGGTCCGGAGGTGAATGTTACTTCTTTGAAAACCACAACAGTGGAGCTGTCACTGTCAATTTGGAGACTTACGTGTATGGTCGTATAAAAACCGCGTATGGCATACAATTGCAGAACACGACATGGACAATGTATGGTCTTGGTGAAGTCAAGTGGACACCGGGATCGTGCGATTTGAAACCGTTGAACTTAGGCAGATAAACATTAAGCTCTTGAGCACTTGAAAACCAACATACGTCAATTTATGGCTATGCTAAGGCCCAATATGTGCCGAAAAGTGATCAAAAATTATCTCAAAGGGATGGGGGTGGGCGAAAAAAATTCACAATGCGAGTATCTCAAAGATGTAGTGTTTCGCATGTAATGTCAACAAATAGTAATGTCAATAAATACTAGTTGTTTCAACTTAATTTAAAGTGTGTCAACGCAAAATCAAGTGGCATTAAACAGAATTTCTTTTTTCAGCTAATTAAACAGCTTGGACACACACTTCTCACGACATTTAAGCCCAAATCCCTATGCTAATATTATATGTTGATGGGTTTATCAAACTCGTCGCTTAACAATAATAATATTATTATTTTCATCATCATTTTGCTATACGGCGGTCATTACTATGCTAATTTACTTGGAGTCCCATCCTTTGTATTCCGCTAATCTCCTCTTATGCCTTGTAACAAAGCAACTGCTGCACTCGAAGGTTCAATGGTTTTATTCATTCACACCATTTATTTGCCATTTTTATTTGCATTTTCCCGCTACTTTGTTTAACGCTTATGATTAATTCGCATACATATATAATGTCAATGCATCAACAGTTCATAAGACCAAAAGTCAATGAATTTTTATGAAAAATTTCAGGTGAATAAACCCCCGTCCCAACATTTCTCTTGCATTAGCCGTTGACCATCCCTCAAAACGATGCACTTTTGTTTATACAATGGTCTTTTGAACCGGACATTTTTTGTTTGGAACACTCACCTCATTAGCCGCACACACACGCACACACACACACACACACATATATTTGTCATTCGAAAACAACAAGTTGATGAACTGAACATTCCCGTGTAAACTCACTCACATGTAACTCCCGCAACTTCTGTGGCATGCCATAACAAAAGATGCATTAAATGCCATTTGAGTTCAATGAGGTGCTGTCGCGAGGCAAGACACACATCACATCGTCACTGCAAGCGAAAAGTACATCCTTGAATAAGAGAAGAAAAAATGTCCGAGCGCGAGTGGCGTACATGAGAATGCATGGAATAAAGCTTAAAATTGAAATTCAATATCTAACAAAACACTACACAATGGCATCGGTGCGAGTAGATAAACAATAGCTGAGTAGCCGAGCAGACACTTACTCATAAGACGCACATAATAGGTAAGACAAACCCTGAAGAGATCTGCTTGACCCCAGCCAGTGTTGGTCATTAGGAGGTGATGAACTCAAAAACAGCAAGACATCTGGAATTTTACAAAATATAAACACAATGTTTTTGTCTAAAGCTTTACTAGTGTTATGTGTGTACGTGTGCGTATGTGTGTGTGTGATAAAGCCAAACAAATGCTAAATCGAAATCTGCATGTAGTACACGTGTGTGTGGGCAGTATCAATACAAAGTCATTAAACTACAGTTATCATTGCGCATAAGATTAAGTAAGCGAACAGGAAGATATGCAGATGACCAACGTAAGTATGTACAAATGTAAGTTAAAGTGGTATAAAGCCAATAATGATATTTAAAAAAAAATTTTATTTGATTAATTCTATAAATAGAATTATTTTTTATGCTTTTGTATCTGAAAAATATTTGAGAAAATGCCAAGTCATTATTATGTGTTTTTTAAGTGAAGAAGTATATTTTAAGAAATATAAAAATTTAATACAAAAACACAAATACATACATATATATTAATAGAAAATTACAAGCAAACCATTCAAATACATTTTCCCATTACTTTTTTCTCTGATACTGCTGTGAAAGATTTAGATTATTGTGTTCATATACATGAAAAAATGCACCACAATCGGCACCAATTACCCGGGGGATATGCCTTCTCAATATAGCATATAAGGTGTGAGCGAGTACATTATGGGAAATACTAAAGCCCATCGTCAACAAACTGATTGGGCCTTATTAGTGTGGGTTTAGACCTGGGATGTGTACATTTGACCAGAAAAGACCCGAGAGAATGATATCGATGCACATCACCTTCTTGTCGA